CTGCCACCCCCGAGAAGCACTTGAGGCGGCGTCATAAATCTTTGAGCAGCTACGGCCACCCCCGAAATGTGGCAACGGCAACTGGTGGGTGGTGTGTGGTGGGAGAAGTATCTACCTTGTTAGCTAACAGGCCCTGTGGGCCCGTTGAAAAATACTCAAGGCAATCAGTTGGCATTTGCATAATTTGACAATTGTTTTCAAATTGCAATAACCATTTTAGCTTAATTGTTTTGCATACGAAGCCAGCGAAAATCTTCTTGCCAGAAGTCCCGGTTAGTGGAGCGGTGCCTTAATTTCCATTCATTTGATTAGTGGGCCAAAGTTGCTCCTTTCTATATTTGCTATGCATTTTTGGGGGCAACTGCCACAAGCAGAAACTTTTTCAATTCAATTGTAAAATAAATATTTTACAAATAATTGCAGGAGGGCCATCTGCCCTCTTTGCATCCGGGCTAACAAAAAATAAAAAATAAAAGGAGGACAATTTCGAAAAAGTTTCTATTTTATACGCCATTTTTTTAATGGCCACACAATTTGCTGCGTTTATCAGGGGCGGTATAGAGCTCCGCCCCCCCTATTTGGCCATCGAACAAAAAGATGAACAGCAGCTGCTGCACAATTAAAATGCATGACTATTGTCAAGGCAAATGGCTTGGAGTGGCAGCCACCCGGATTGTTGTGACAATGGCAGAACAATTGAGTCGGGACGGAAGTCGAGGATGCTCGGGCACCATGGAATTGAAACTGAAAATGGCTGATGTGATTGAGACCTATGTGTGTTTATGCAAACTTTTTCGGGCTTTAACTTATCCACTCACCGCAAAAACTTTTCCATAGGCCACATCTGCTTCAACGCCTCTCATTGTTATTTTAGGCAGTTGAGCCGTCACAAAGTTTACGGCCGAAAGGACCAAGCCAACTCCAAACCTACAATCGGATCAAACAAATTTAAATCTGTACAAAGTTAAGACACCCAAAGTTTGAAAATGTATGTCAAAGAATTCGATTTGTTTCAAGTAAAGTTTTATTTCGGAAATAAATATCCGAATCCGTTGTTTAAGGATTAAAATCCCATTGTCCTAAAATGAACAAATAAATCTGGCGTTTCCTTGTGCCACTAAATTGCCATTAAAATGCATAAGGGAGCCAGCCAGGTCAGACATTAGCCTTCTTAGAACTGTCCCTCAAACTGAGTGCGACCATTTACATAACCGCATGCCCAGACCCATGGGGGTCAGTAGTTGAAATGCCACAAAATTATACATTAAATTCCAAAACTTGGCAACATCCGATGGCCAAACAATGGCCCCAAACAGCTGCCGGAGTGGTGTACTTGGTGCACCTGAGCAAGGCCAGCCAAACAAATCCGGTCGAGGAGGACTGGCTGGACTGGACACTAGGCGAGCCGGCGGCCAGGCTTGGCTAACCAAGCCAACCAGCCACTTCCTGTTTTAAAGCCGCCAGCCCACCGGCACGCACAGAGGAATCCATATAGTACAAGTACCACACGGCGCCCACCAGCCATGATTTTCTGAAATGCGTTCTAGAGGTGTGCGATTATTCTATGAAAAGCTATATCCCTTTGCTGTAAAATGTTAGAAGAAAATTTACATGATATTAGGATATATAGTTTTGAATAAATAGAAAGCTAAAAACAATATAAAAATCACGCACGCATCCCTAAACTCTGGACCCTTTTAATGGAGTTTGCATACATTTGCTCAGCCCTGGCTGTCGTCTGGCAGACACAAATAAGGTTTTCGGGTTAAACTGCAAGTTTTTGTTGACATTTAAATTTGCATAGCAACATTTTGGTTGCATCCTGCCAAGCGAGGCAGCCATGCAGCCAGCTATCCAACGGGCAGGCGGTCGGCAGCCAGGCAGGCCAGGCCTGTCATATTTGATGTTTTCGCAACCAAAAGGACCCAAAGCGGAAGGAAGGGCGCTGCCAACTGTCAAGCTGTGTGCATATGTGCGGGTGTTTCGGTGAGTGTGTTTTAACTGGTTTTAAAATTGTTTTAATTAAGGCAGTATTGCGCATTGTTGCAACCACCACCACCCACCCATTCAGATCCAACCCCAGATGGGGCCTCTCCACTCACCCGGCACTCATTCAATATTCAGCATATTTTTAAGTGCTTGGGCGCGGAAAAATTCCGTGATCCTAAAAGTATGCAATGAAAAAGCCAAAATACAATCCGGAAAAGTTGCTGCTGGCCACTGCTGTTTTTTATTGTTGTTGTTGCTTAGCGGCGGAAAAAGAAAACCCCAAGAAAGGAACCAAAATAAAGGAGCCACAACATTTTTTCGCCCAGCAAACCCATCAACATAAACAGCTGTTTCCGCTAAGTGTACCTGGACACTCGAGGAACTCTCCGGCAAGAAGCAAACAGGAAACCCTATTTGCGTGTGTATGTGTATGTGTGAGTGCTTTGTGGCGCAATGACAATGCTCCTTTTTTGCAGGACATGCACAAGTGGACAGCGGTATAACGGAAAAACGGGATAAAGGTCTAACAGCTGGCTCAGTTGGTGGCGTCGTCAAGGCGATGGTGATGGCATCTTAGCGTGGCCTGATAGAATTTTCCTACTACCTTCCGATAGCCACCCCACACCACCCCCTTTATCCTTGGCAAAGTGGTGTCAAGTATCACAGAAACAGGGGAAGATAATGCCAAGATTGGTAAGTAGCTTACAGGACTTTTTAGCTGCATGCTCCCATAATGCCCTACTTATCGTGTTCGTGTATAGTTGGTTAAATTACTAAATTTACTCACTAACTTAAGCTACCCGCCGTTAAAAAAAAATATATTAAATTAATAAATATAGAAATATATGCAACAAGTTGAATTCGGGTTTATAAATGCAAAGAAAACAAAATAGGGAAGGTGTAGATTTATTTAAGAAATGGAATAGGCAAGCAAGAATCTAGTGTGGCCCACAGGGAATTTTCATATAATTATTATTTTCAACAAAATTTTCGATCGATATTTGTAAAAATATTTGTGGGGCCAATACCCCCTGCAATATCCTGAATTTTCATAAATAAGCCAAACGTATGTCTATATCTTGAGCAATTTTCCCCAGATCCTCAATCGGAATACCTTAAACGGTTTGTAGAACGATTCTCTATCATTCTGCATCCAAGCTATAGATAGACATTTTTATCGATATTTTTAAAATTTTTGTGGGGCCCAAATTTTTAAATTGGCCCAAACCATATCTATAACTTGGCCAATTTTTATCCGATTTTTGAGATTAAAAAAGATAAAGCCTTAAAAGATTTGAAGTTTGATTCTCTATTAATCTGCGTTAAAACCTAAGAATTTAATTTTCAATGGATATTTTTTCGTTTTTTGTAGAGAGTTCCCTTTCAAAATATAGGACTAATGTTGATGGCCCCGAGTAATGTTCATATCTATGGCTATTTTTATACGATCCTTTAGGGGAATATCTTTAAAGATTTGTTGTTATATCTAATTACAATTTTCAACACATGTTTTTCCAATTTAAAGAGAATTCTTGCAAAAAATAGGCCTTATTAAAAATTCCCTCTAATATTAAGAGACCCATCAGAAAAATGGACAAAAAAGTGAATAAATTTTTTGTGTCCAGATTTTGATTCAGATTAATGGAGAATCGATCCACAAATCGATTAAGGTATTCCACTCAAGGATCAGATGAAAATTGGCAAAGATATGGCCTTCGCGGTGGGTGATATTGGGCTCCCCTGCATTTTCAGCATTTTTGAAGGGGACCCATCAAGAAAATTGACAAAAAAGTGGAAAAATATTTTGTGTCCAGATTTTGATGCAGATTAATGGAGAATCGATCCACAAATCGATTAAGGTATTCCACTCAAGGATCAGATGAAAATTGGCAAAGATATGGCCTTCGCGGTGGGTGATATTGGGCTCCCCTGCATTTTCAGCATTTTTGAAGGGCACCCATCAGGAAAATTGACAAAAAAGTGAAAAAATATTTTGTGTCCAGATTTTGATGCAGATTAATGGAGAATCGATCCACAAATCGATTAAGGTATTCCACTCAAGGATCAGATGGAAATTGGCAAAGATATGGCCTTCGCGGTGGGTGATATTGGGCTCCCCTGCATTTTCAGCATTTTTGAAGGGCACCCATCAGGAAAATTGACAAAAAAGTGAAAAAATATTTTGTGTCCAGATTTTGATGCAGATTAATGGAGAATCGATCCACAAATCGATTAAGGTATTCCACTCAAGGATCAGATGGAAATTGGCAAAGATATGGCCTTCGCGGTGGGTGATATTGGGCTCCCCTGCATTTTCAGCATTTTTGAAGGGCACCCATCAGGAAAATTGACAAAAAAGTGAAAAAATATTTTGTGTCCAGATTTTGATGCAGATTAATGGAGAATCGATCCACAAATCGATTAAGGTATTCCGCTCAAGGATCAGATGAAAATTGGCAAAGATATAGCCTTCGCGGTGGGTGATATTGAGCTCCCCTGCATTTTCAGCATTTTTGAAGGGGACCCATCAGAAAAATGGAAAATATAATATTCCTCCAATAATATTAGAGGAATACCTTGTCGAATAACGTCTTCCCACACAAGTGCACGTGCAGCAAACTGCAGATCGATTTGATCTGAGGAAGTCCAAACAACTCGAGTGTTTATTTATAATTTTCACCTCAAGAGCAGCAACAAGTTGCCCCAGTTCCCTGCCACAAAATAGCATAGGCCCTAAGACCTTGCCCAAAGAACCGGCGTCTAAAATTAAAATCTGGAAATGAAAACAACAGAGAATCGGTATCACAACAGTTGCTATATGTCGAGCATAGTTCCAAGCATCAACAAAAAACAAAAAATCAACAAAGAAATATTAACCAAAATAAAATTTCGAAGCGCGATGAGAGAGGAAGCGACTCTTTGGCGAGAAACTAACAATTTCGAGCGAGTTTCAGTTTCAGTTTTGTTTTTCGAAAATAGGCAACAGAGTGATTTGAATATCTGAACGGCAAACGGCAAAGAATCACAATCTATTCGGGAGACAGTCGCTGGCCATACGCGACGCAACTGCGAATGCAGCGGACGATCGGCGGGTCCAACTATATAAAAATAAACCGACAGCAAGAAGAAGCTGTCCGAGCAAGCTGTGCCAAAAAATTTCAAAATTAGAGTACATATAGTGATGTGCGGTCCGTTTCTGTTGTAAATAATTTGTAAAAACCGATCCAAATAATAACAAAATATAACCAAGCCTTAAACAAACATGGCAGCTGTAAGTTATGGCCGAAAGGGAAGCGGACAGCTGGAGGTTATGCAAAAAGCTGGCTGGAAGATCGATGAGAACGAGAAAGGTAGGCCAAGGAATAGATTTCAAAATCTGTTAAAATCTCTCTAAAAATAAAAACTATCCAGCCTGCTATATCGATGTGGATGAAGATGATAATGAATCCACCGATGGAGCTGATGATTCGACAAGAGTTTACTCGAAGTGGTGCTATCTGCCCAACATTGTACTCGAAGAGGTATTTGCGTATCTAAGCCCCAAAGAGCGTTATTACGCAGGATTGGTAAGTAGTTTTTTATTCATTTATATTATAATTTTATAAATATAAAATAAATATCCCACAGGTCTGTCGACAGTGGTACCGTGCTTTGTATTTGCCCAAAGTTTGGAATAATTTCGTGGTGGACGATCGCACACTGACCCGCCCGAAGTACAACTACTACTCCGGCTGGCAGTACTGCCTGGACCACATGCGCACCCAAAACTGTCTGGCCCGGATTGGGAAGTATCTGAGAGGCATTGAGTTTAGGCCCTGGCACAGCTTCAATAATATCTATCAGTTTATGACGATGTTGTCGTGGAGTATGGACAAGGTGGGCACTTGCAAGTGGAGAACTAGAGTCTAATAGACAATAAATAAATAAAAATTGTAATTTCAGAGCAACGAACAGCAGGCGCCGCCGGAGTTAATAGGAATGGGACGTCGAATTCGATCCCTGGTGTATCATTTTCCGTGCAACATGTCTCAGCCAAATGATCCCGAGGGAATCAAGCTCTTCGGAACTGGAGGTCAGCTTCTGAAAGGTCTGAAGGAGCTACTCCAGAGACTAACAGACCTGCACACTCTCAAGCTGGTGGACTTTGTGCTGGAACGCTTCGAGGCGAATCACCTACTGGACGAGGTCGTGTGCAGCTGCTGCACCAAAATGCGAGTGCTCAACCTGGTGAATGTGACAACCACCCACTGTCCCATCATGCATGTCGGACTCTTCCTCAACCTGCAGGTGAAAATCAATCAGTGGGTTAACCAAAACTCCCGTATTAATGTTTGCTCTGGTTCCAGGTGCTCACCATCTCCCCGCAAAACATCGACGACGATGTGCTGTCCCTGCTGGCGGACACCAAACTGCGTCACTTGCATTTGCTGCAGAACTGCTACACACCCAAACACGTGACCATCAGTGCCTGCGGGGTGAAGGCCTGGCGGAGCCTGAAAAAGACCAATCCTCGGATGCGTGTTCATCTCCGCCTGGAGAACCTCGAGGACGGGGAGGTGGTTCTACAGCCGGAGGCTCCGGTTCACAGTATCACCTACTGGGCCCCGCAGGCCAGAATCCGGCCCGAATTGCTGGTCCGGATGGTGGACCACTACCGGAACACGCTTGCCGTTTATGGCCATGAGCTCCTGCCGCGCTTCTCCAGCCCCAAGCCGTTTCATAATCGCATCGACAGCTTATTGTTGCTGATGTGCCGGCAATGCTTCAATATGGACACCCTGGTGAGTACATCTATCTATGAGTTTTGCTTACACATAAGAAATCAATAGTCATTGCTTATCTTTAGTTAGTGATGCCTAAGCTAAAGTTTATGCTATGGGAAGTAATCCAACCGCAAACATTATTACCAGTCCAGGTTTGATTCATTAAACAATGACAGAGTTGTATGTGTAATTTAACTGAATCAAAGGGCTTTATGAATCTTTTGAATATCATATTTCACATATATTCTCTTGCATGGCTTTATTATATTGCTAAAGCCTTTATCTCTAACATATTCTGATTACTAACTAATAGCACGAATAATAAAACCCACTTAACACCTTTTTCCTCCTCAGATCATCCGCGAGAAAGTCTCCACCTCCACGCTTCTGTTGATTGCAAAAACTGCCAAAAATCTGCGGCATCTTCACGTCCGGCGTTTTGCCGTAATTCTACGCTGCGACTGGCCAAGACATCCGGAGTGGAGCGATGAGTTCCACATATGGCTACGTCGCAACTCGCGATCCTATGAGGCAGTCGAAAGGGAAATCTCCCAGATAGTGGGCTACAAGTGGCATCTACTCAGTGATCGTGATTTTAAGCAGCTGACAGTGAATGTCAAATCGGGGGCATAAAGAATTTGCAGCAAATCCCTGAACTTGTGAGACTTGTGATAATAAAAAAAAACGTTTAGAGCTTTACTTAATCAATGAATGAGGCTTACAGTGCCAAAGAATAAAATAAATATTGCTAAAAACTCGTCATTTTCTTTTTAAATAATTAACACCTTATTCACAATTTTCATTGACTTGGAACGTTTGGTTACCTTTCGGTTGGCTTACCAAAATTGAGGAATCAAAAATGGTTTAAAAGCCTCTGCAGCGGAACCAAGCTCATCAGATACAACCAATTGTAGGACCATGAAAGTAATCATCTTCTTGCTGGGATTCCTGTTCCTCATTGGAGCGGCTTTTGCCGATCCTGTGCCGCAACCACATCATGAACCAAATCATGATCCGCATTACGATCCGCATCACGATCCCCATCATGATCCCCATCGTGATTATCACCATGATCCTCACGTGAACGAGCACCATGATCCTCATCATGATCCTCACCATCATTAATGATGTTAAACTCTCTCACAAGATCAAAATTTTCCAATTAAAATATGTATTATGAATTAAAGAACTTGAATAAATGTGTATGATATTTTAACGGCTTACTTCTAAATGGTATTGGACTTTATTTTATCAACAGAAATTGTGCGAAATCATGAGCAATGATTCCAATTCCCATTCGAGGGGGAAACACACAACTCTCGCAGTAATTCACACCTCTTAGGCCGGAGAAATTCAATTTATTTTGTTTGCTTAAGCTGTGATTGAAATTCCCAAAACCGATTTGCATAAAAGCCAGCAGCATCTTTACTGACAGATCAGTTGGATTTTGAAATCTTGCCAAGAAAGATGAAAGCTGTGATCGTCTTGCTGGGACTTCTCTTCTGTATTGCCGCAGTGGCATCGACACCCGTCATAGTGGGTGTACCACTTCCAGTGCCACTGGGTGTAGGCTTTGGAATACCGCCACCTCCACCACCTTCATATGGATACTATCCCCATTATCATCACCATCACCATAGTCCTTACGGTGGATATGGTTATGGTTACTACTAAGATACTATCAAGACTATAAGGATTATAAGGATAACTACCAATATTTTTAAATAAAATTATTTATATCACTGACGCTCTAAAAGCTCGGCTTGGTTTTGTTAGTCACTGTTTGGTTTTATGGGAACTTGTGCGTTAAGTTTTTCCCCAAAGCTTCAATTTGGAAAAGCTCTTGCCCTTTTCACTTGCAACGGCCTTGAATGCAGCAGCAACTACAACAACAGCTAGGGGGGAATCAATGCAGGCAGGAAAATTCAATGTCAGTGCCAAAGCTCGCTTGGCATTTGGCCGGTTTAAAAGGCCGCTGCATACTTTCGGGCGCACCGGACATTACGTATACGCCGCTTTGGCAGTGCATCGACGAATGATTGGACGGACGTGTGCGTTATTGAAATAAATAAAAATAATAGATATTTAGAGAAGGAAAATAAGAAATGAGTGGTCGACGCTCGCGAGAAATTGCGACAGCCATCTGAGACAAATTTAGCCAAACGAAGAATCTCAACTGAACATAAACTGAATTGAGGCAAGAACAGAACGAGAAACGAAGGAGATTTTCGGCAGAGCAAACTGTTGCTGTTGCTCTTGGTGGGTCTGCCACTGGGCCTGAGCCACTGGCTGGTGGCGGTGGTGGTGTTGGCGGTGGCTGTTTTTGTTTGGCGGGCGGCGGTGCCAAATGATGGTCATGACCGCGTAAAGTCACATATAAATATAATTAAATCAACAAACTATAAGCAGGCAACAAGCTTGCTTCAATCGAGATCGCGGGGATTGTGTAACGGCCACGACAACGGCAACGACAGCGGCAGCGAAATGAACAAAACCATACTGCACTGGAGCTATCTCAACTTTAAGGATGTGCCGATGGATCTATTTCTCTACGAGGACCTCGAGGAGGTTTACCTCAAAGAGAACTACATCTCGGTGATACCCAAATGGCTGCTGAACATCACGACCCTGAAGTTCATACACCTGGCTGGAAATAATCTCGGCGAGCTACCCACGGACATCTATATGCTGGAGAACCTTGAGTTTCTCGACGTTTCCAACAATGAGCTAAAGGAACTGCCACCGACTTTGGGGCTACTCCTCAATCTGCAGCAACTTAACGTGTCTGGTAACCAACTTAGTGAACTGCCAGTGGGTGAGTTTCTTCCAAAAAGACTATGATTCTGAATAATGATTCCTTTTTTCGAATCATAAACTCAGAACTGAGCAGCTTGCGCAATCTGGAGCAGCTGAACATTGCCAAGAATCGGTTCCGCCGCCTGCCGGTGCAGCTGAGCGAGTGCGTCCGCCTGAACGAGCTGAATGTGAGCGACAATGAGGCGCTGGTGCACATTCCTGAGCGGATCTCTAACCTTCCCATGCTACAGTCCCTTGCCGCCGATCGTGAGTAGCACAACAATGGGAGAAATTGGCAAGGAAACCAAATGTTTCTCTTTCAGGCTGCGCACTTGTTTATTTACCAGCCGCACTCTCCAAGTTTATGAACCATGTGCGCATTTTCCACAACACCGCCATAAACTACATACCCATGGTCTATGAAAAATTCTACCAGAACTTTTACGACAACCGACAGAGAGCTACTCCCATGTAAGAATAATATCCATAAGAAATACCTCCAAGACTATAAGAAGGACCTTTCAGATCCATTAATCGCAAAGGTCTCTTTTGGATTCGCGAACTGGAGACCAACTGCCGTCTAGTGCTTCCGGTGGGCACTCGCACAGTATTTCCGGTTCCGTCTTTGGAGAATAGGGTCACTCTCTACGACGACTGCCTTCATGCCGTACAGACGCTAAACCGCTCGACTCCCGTCTACGAGAACTCCGCCCTCCATCGGCTGCTCCCCGAGCCGTACATCAGTTCCCACATCAACAACGGCCCCATCGCCCGATGCACCAACACCACCTGCTCCAGATGTCTGTACACATCGTACTACTTCATGGTCGTGAAGAGGTAAGTCGTTCTGGTCGTGACGTTTGGTTACGTTTGCTCCGGATTAGTCATGTGGTCATTGTTTTGAAAGCCGAGAGCCCAAACCGGTCCGCTTTCTAATTGGGCCAAATGGACCTATCACAACCGCAAGAAGTACGGTAAAGGTTGACTAAGATAGACTATTTGTTTTTCAGGCGCGGCAGCACCTCCAAGCAGCTCTTCACCTGCAATTTCTGTACAAATCGTTGCGCCCTCCTCTGGCTCGGGGGCAACGAGAAGAAATACTACCAGTTGGCGTGGAGGGTATCCGATGACGATGATGAAGACCCTGAACCTGAACCCGGGAAATGAAATGAGTCGAAACAGTGGAATGGCCAAAACTCTCGTTGTATATAAATTTAGAATTGTTTATTTATTATCTTTAATTACCATTAATTAGCTTTGTACGCGTTATATATATATATTTATTCATCTAATGGCAACCGGCACCATTTTTATATTTTTTATAAGAAATAGAAAGAATCTTTTTTAGCCAAGGTAGCTCTGTGTGGGTCCTCTCTCATGGAGGTGGATATAATCATCCAGAAGGCAGTGGTGGGCCTTAGGAAAGGCCTTCCGGCAGTTGACGCCGTGAAGACCCATTCTATAAGCATCCAGGTATCGGCTATCCAATGTACGATGGGGTCTGTGGGTTTATTAAATAAATTAAATCACTAAATTGATAGCTTTTAAGGTTTGCGCTAAAACATACCTTAACAGTCTGTGTAAGATTTGAGCATAGAGACCCAAGTGCTCATGCACTTGACCATTTTCACAGATCAAACGTTCCAGACAGGCCTCTCCATTCTGTCCAATCTGATTCATATAGCCCTCGGCCAGCTTGAAGAGCATTAGTTGCGGTTCATCCACCAGAAGGCGTTCTGGTATTTGAGGACTAGGAGTAGCTGCTGGGATCTCAGAGCCCTTTAGGTCACGAGAGCTACTCCACAAGTTCCACCAATAGATTGGGGTTTGAGGTTCGTTGAACTGGTAATGGAAATTCATCAACCAGACCAATTGGCGCCAGACTTTTTTCTCCATAAAGGGCACAGGAAAGGCACAACCTCCAACAAACTGAAAGTAAAATCATTTAAATTAAATCTCAATAATGTTAAAATTATAAAGACTTACCTTTACTACGCCTCCATTTTGATAAATCAAGAATCTTTTCTGTCTCTTGTGATGCCGCCAGGCTGTGAGATTTGCCTCCAGGGCTGACACAGCTTCCAGCATCAGGAGAAGCGTCAAAAACTTGGCTCTAATTAAAGATCAAAATTGATAGAAAAAAGTGAATAATTTCACGGTTCATCGACTCACATCAGGTTCATGCTGCTGGCGTCTCTTGTGTTGTTCGTTCGAGCTTCTAAACGCATTTACCATCTCGGTTCTAACAGATCAAATGCCCTGGCATCGCTTTACTAGAGTTTGTAATTCCCGATAGAGATGGCTAGCTACCGAGAGAAAGAGAAAGGTGTATAGAAAGCACGTGCTTCGGTGGGTTTCCTACTTTTGCATGCTAGACTAATTAGCAAACACTACGTCTGCACCGAGGTTAGACAGCGACACCGATTCAATCAGTGATTGAAAAGCGGTTCAGGTTCAGTGATAAAAAAACAGTGACGAAAGTGACTCACAGGTGGGACTGGTAATGAAAGAACTTAGATAAATGTATGAGATCAAATGTTATGAAATTATAAGAATTTAGCCCTGAATAATCTGAATAAAGTAGGGTTAGTAAGGTTTACGGTTAGTAGGAGGACGGTTTAACCCTCTAGGTTACTTGGACGAAAATCCCTCACGGAGGGGACTGAAACTGGAAGAACTTTAATGAATATTAAAGTTAGAAAATAAGAATAATATAAATGTTAAAATTAAATAATAAATAAGTCTATCTGAGGGTTTCCGATCCAGTTTCTCACAGGTAGTATCCTAAAAAGTACTTCAAGATGTTCCTTTTGTTTTAAAGATACAAATACTACATTTATTGACATTAAAAATCCAAATTAAATTGTTAAACAAATCACTTAATTGCCTCAATTTAATCAGGTTCTTAGCTTTATTATTTTGTATGTGTCTTTATTTATAGACTACATGGACCATTTCAATCTGTATAAACTCATCTGGCTCATCTTTGATAATTACTTGTTTAAACAAAGTCAAAGATATTTCATGGTAGCTTCCAAAGAATTCCATGGAAACCACTACCAGTTGCCTGTTGGTTGGCCAACCAGTTATCCAGCTATCCAGAGTTTGTCCAGGCTGCCATGGCAAGAGGTGTCACCATAGTTGCGTTTGTTCCATTTATCGAATAGCAGCGGAAATGTCGAAACACTCCGGCAGTCCAAAATTCTGTTGCGTGGCGTTAACTGCCACTGAACTACTTTCGGCTTCTATACAAATGTAACCACAACGATTTGGCACAGTATTTTACTAAATTAAAGTACAAAATTAACAACAATAAAGTGTTAAAAATTATCTGTAAAAATGATGCGACTGCCAGGAATGCCCATGCTTCCAGGAGCACAGTTCTATGATGTGAGTCCTGCAGAAATAAAAAAAAAGTAAATCCTTAAAATAAAATAAAAAATTTATAGCGCAGCGAACGGCGACGTCCGCGGAAACAAACCTTGATGCACTACCAGGGTATCCAAATGCTGTCCGACCGACGGGAGCCGGAACTGGTGGAACCAAATGGCATTGTGGTTGATCCCAAATGCCCACCAGTTCCGGCCCAAATCAATAGCTTGTGGGCCCCCAAGGCCACCGTCAAACTGCCACCCTGGCTGGCCTACGACAAGCAGGTGCTCTGTTTCAACGCCTACTTCAAGGAGAACCTCACCGAGATCTACCACGCCCCTTACCAGGTGCGCAAGGTGAAGATCTACTTCTATTTGGAGGATGGCACCATGCAGGTTACAGAGCCGAAGGTGGAAAACTCGGGGATTCCGCAGGGCTGCCTCGTACACCGCCAGAGGATACCCAAGTCTCCGCCCACCGACCGCGAATTCATCTCCATCTTCGACCTCAATGTGGACACCAACGTGCAGATCTTCGATCGGGTTTACCACATCAGTGGATGCGATGTCTTCACCCGGCAGTTCCTCAACCGTGCCGGAATCTTTGTGCCAGAGCCGCTGGAAGAGCCAAGTGATCCCACGACGGAGATCCGGAAGCGGTCCGGCATAAAGCAAACAGCCTCTGCCTGCAGCTCGGCTTTGCCCAAAAAGCATGCTTTTGCCCAATTCCTGCAGTTCGACAGGCGGGTGCTGAAGTTCCAGGGCTATTGGAACGATCGCAGCGAGTTCGGGGATGTGAGGAAGCTGGATATATGCTACTACCTGGCGGATGACACCATTGACATAAAGGAGAAGTTCCCAAGGAATTCGGGTCGTGAAGGACCCAGCACTTTTCTTCGGAGAGCGAAGCTTCCCAAGGAGTTCTCGGGACTAGCACTTCCTGGCCAACAGACGGCAGTAACGCTGCTCAATGTCCTGGGCAGCAGTATGAGGGATGTGCGTTACGTAGCCGACCCGTTGAACACTGGCCAGAGACAGGAGCAATACTACACCGATCAGGATTTGCAAATAGGAGCTGTTTTGAATGTCTTTGGTCGGGCGGTTGTGCTCACGGGCTGTGATCAGTTCACCCAAAGTTACTACAGAGCCAAGGTGGGTTGGGGATATATATTTGTGACTTTATTTATACTATATTCTGTTTATTATGTTCTCCAGTACGGCATCGAGGAGTTCACGCCACAAGCAATACCCGAACGCAGCGATATACGCCCTCACACCCAGGTTGGCATGGCCTCCCGGCGTCTGCCGCCCTACAATGGATGGGGCAGTCATGAGGACTCTGAGGGCAACTGCATCACTGTCGAGCCAAAGCCACCGCAGGCCGATTTCAAGAAACTCTTCAAATACGATGGCTGCATCCTGCGATTCGGAGCCAAGCTAATCTCCCCGATCCGGGAAAATGACGAGCGAGACTTCGTCATCAGCTACTTCCTGGCGGACGACACTTTGCAGGTTTACGAGGCTTCTCGTCGGAACTCCGGGTTCCTGGGCGGCGAGTTCCTCAAAAAGGCACGAGTTCCACTGCCCGGGCAGAATATGTTTGGCTCCGCGCGACCGGAATACTTCAGAGCCAATGACTTCTATATAGGCCGCACCATGACCCTCAAGGATCACATATTCCACATTGTTTCGGCAGATGAGTTTACGCTGCTCTACATGGAACAACATCCCAGCGAGGTGAGCTTCAGAAAAGGTATAATGGTTCACTAAAATATCGTCTTCTTGTTACAGTTTCCTGTGGCTGATATCCGAAGAATTATGGAAAAGATTCGCAATGCCGTTCGTCCGGAGTACAAGCAGTTCGTCCTTAGTTGCAAGCCAGACGGAGATCTCGGCGACTACACCACCGTGGGCTTCGATACGCTGCGCTCCACCCTCCTGTCGTATCTGTCCAAGGAGAGCCTGCTCAACCACGAAATAGTGACAGTGTGTCGCTACTTCTCGGCTGAGCAGGCTATGCCCCCCAGTTGCGACCGGAATCGGGTACGGGCGGCAGCCCAACTGGAATTAAAACGCGCCCTCTGGAACAGTGCCGAGGAGCTGAACGATCATCTGAGTCACATCAATCCCGCCTGCCGGCCGTACATCAGCGAGTCACAAGTCAGATCCACGCTGAGAGGATGCCGATTGCCCTTCAGCCTGGAGCTAATAGAGGACATCCTGCAGGTGCTGCAGAGGAATGCTCAGGGTGAGATTGAGGTGCGCGACTTTCTGGCCTTCTTCAACATGCGCCACGACCAAGTGCCCGATATTGCGCCCATCAACATCGCCTTTGAGCTCTGTCCCAAGCTGCCGTTCCTGCACAAGGGCCGCCTGGTGGACTTCACCTGGTTCCTGGACTACCTGGGCCTCGAGGCGGAACTAAAACGGGCCAACATTTGAAGTACGATGGGTGATTATCAAAAATTGCATGTATATACAGAAAAATTCGTGGCAATATAACTTTTCGGAATGGTGAACATTGTGCTTAAGATCTAATCGGCTATTTGTATCCTACAGTTTAGACTCGGTGAGCCAGTTGAAGGACTGTGGCTTCCGGTCCGAGGACGGGCTGATGGCCACGTTAATGATGGTCGGCCTGTCGGTGAGCTGGTTGGCCGCCTTCACAGCCGCCTGCAGCTGCTCGATTTCGGTACAGAAGTAGCCCTGCATGCCGAACATTTTCATCATCTCCTCGTAGCGTACCTGAACGCCCAACGCCGAGGGTGGCGTGCTGCAAGATAAGATTAGCATTGATTACTTGTTTCCAGATACGTTTTAGCCCGATAAGATGCCGACGATGCCATGGGCAGAAGTACTCACATTTGGGTCAGATCGCCCTCACTGCGAATGGCCTCGAAGGTGTCCTTGTCGAAGCCACCGTAAATTCCGTTGTTGTTCACGATCACAATGGTCACGGGGAGCTTGTAGCGCACCATGGTCTCGATCTCCATGCCGGAGAATCCAAAGGCACTGTCGCCCTCCACGCACAGAACTCGCTTGCCGGGAGCAAAGTCTCGGCAGAACAGAGCGGCGGCCACCGCGAATCCTGGGCCAACACCCATCGTTCCGAAGGTACCAGCGTCCAAGCGATGCCGTGGCTGCTCGTTCAACAACATGGAGCGACCAATGTCCATGGTGTTGGCTCCCTCGCTGACGATGATGGTGTCCTTGGGCAACAGCTCGCGCAAGTGATGGAAGACGGCGTAGTAGTTAAGCGGCGTCTGGGTATTCAGGGACATCTGCTGGACAGTGTCGCGGTTGTGCTTGCACTTGGCGGCCAGCTGCTTCCACCAGTCCTGCTCGTAGCCGAACCGGAAGTTCACGGCATTCATCTGCTCGAACAACTGCTCGGCGAAGGGACGAATGTCGGCCTGGATGGCGACCGAGGCCACCACGGAGTTGTGCAACTCCTCAGGATTAATGTCCACCTGGATGAACTTGACATCCTTATCGTAGCGAGGAGGTTTGCCAAAGTGAAGGATCCAGTTGAGGCGGGCGCCCAAAAGCAGCACCACATCCGCCTTCTGAAGAGCCAGAGTTCGGGCCGAGGAGACACACTGGGGCGCGGTATCGGAGACAACACCCTTGCCCATCGGGGTTGGCAGGAAGGGCAGATTTGTGTTCTCAATGAAGTGGCGCAGCGTGTTCTCGGCGTGAGCATAGGCGGATCCCTTGCCAATAATCACCAGCGGTCGCTTGGCCTGCCGCAGGAGCCTGGCAGCCCGGATGACGTCGTCATGGGGAGGGTAGGCCAGCGGGGGAGCTGGGTGAGCAGGGGCCTTGTAGATCCGCTCCTCGAGCGCCTTCGACTGCAAGATGTTTCCGGGGAAATCCAGATAGGCCACTCCTGGACGTCCATAGGTGGCATACCGCACAGCCTTTTCCACGTGCAGAGGGATGAGGGCAGCGGTTGGCGGGCGTGCAGCGTACTTGCAGTAGGGACGCGAGAGCTCCACCTGTGGGCACTCCTGGAAGCCGCCGATGCCTTCGTGGTCCTGGTTGGTTGCTCCTCCAATGACAATCAGAGGCCAGCAGTTGACCTGGGCATTGGCCATGCCACCTAGTCAATGAATTCATTAAAATTAGCATATGACTTTGGGGTTGTTTGTGTAAAAGGTACCTGTAACATGGAGCAGTCCGGGTCCGGAAACCACCAAACAGACACCGGGCTTGCCAGTCAAATAGCCAATGGCCTGGGCGGCATAACAGGCAGCCTGTTCGTTGCGCATTCCGATGTACTTCAGTCCGGCCACCTGGAAGGCCATGGACAGTTCGATAACTGGGATGCCAATGATGCCAAAGACATACTCCACACCCTGAAGATGAAAAAAATACAAAATAAATTATAGAGAAGATGTTCTAGTCTAGTCTAGTAGTCTAGGATTGCTTCTAGTCTTCCAAGTACGGGTGAAAATATACATTATTTATGCTATTATTATAAAAATATATTTATATCACATTCCTTGAATCACATAACACGTATAATCCTAAAAAATCTAACCAAAATGCCAACACGTTTTCGGCGATTAAGCGTGGGGATCCGGTTAAAGTTTTATTGATTTTAATCTGGCTCCCCAGTCCACCGATAATCGCTGCAAGCGCAAGGGTGTTTGGGTCGTGCTACTAAACCTTTGGAACACACGCTCTTTATCAAAATCCGTTTGCCTTTTTTATGAACAAGAATAATTATAATCGGGGGGGCGATGGCAACAACAATAACAACAACAAGAACAACAACACCAGTGTTAACCAAGTGTTTTGAACTTTGCACAACAAACAGGTGCCTTCCACTTTATAAGATAAGCTACCATTGTTCCCATCACATCCACGGCCCCCACTATCGGCCCCCATTGGAGCTGAGAGGAATGCCAAGGCTCAAAAATGCATATAATCCGCAAATGCAGAAAAGTGCAATGATGAATTTTTGGACAAAATGGTTGCAACTTACCTGTTGCTTCAGCGACTCGGCAATAATCTGCACGGCTTCAACCTCGGCCATTTTGTGCGCTATTTATGGTAATTGTGCTAGAGTTGCTAAAACCGCTGCCGCGTTCTTTTGCGTACTGGACTAAAATTAGTTAAACAAATTAAAATATACAACCCAAGGGAAGCGGTGGCCGCAGATTAGAGGTGGGACAAACACAATCGATGTTTCGATATATCGATGCTGATGCACCCACGACATTCGATAAATATATTCGATTTGTAGCGGGCAAGTTATCGATCAATTGAAATGGCTTGGCGGGATTTTAATTTTGTGATTAAAAAAGCTTTTATTTTTTCTTTTAGCAAATTTTTTTTATAGAGTCATTGACGCATTTTAGTATTTGTTGATTGTCGCACTAATCTTTTAATGGCTAATGTTAATTCATCATCAAAAACTGCGCTTCATTGCATGTCCTCACATTCGATTAGCGTTTTACTAATTAATTTTAATTTTTTTTGTCTGAGCGGAGAATGAAATGAACTTCTGCAAAAAGCCGCAACCAGTTCGCCACAGTATGTTTTTCCCCCCATAGCCAGGCTAAGGTCGTTGTGCCAATCTAAGAACAACTGGTTTGGCCAGTGAATCACAGTCCAAGTGTGCTAAATAACAACAAATTATATTTATTAATAATAAATACAAGGCTAAAGCTTTAATAGGACTCTCCAAAAACAAGCGCACTTCATAGTTATGGCATAATACTAAACATAAAACATCACAGATGATTGCCAGGACACAAACTACAACTTTGTGTTGACAATATCCTCTCGCGACTCGGTGGTCTCCACTTCGTTCCACTTCTGGATCTTGCCCGAGCCGAAGACCCAGAAAAAGAGGGCGGGCAATATGTAGGCAGCGGCTCCAATGATGAAGACATAATGCCACTGATCGATGGTATTCTAGGGAATGCAAAAAATAGCTATTAAACTCTATCATCTTTATAGAAATCCTGTTAACAAACCTCCTCCTTTGTAAAGGCTGCCACAATCAGAGGCGAGAAAATTCCTGGCGTGGTTCCAATGCAGTTAATGATTCCATACAAGGTACCCGCATAGTTTGGAGCCAAGTCCTGGGAGTTGGCCAAATTGGAGGCAGTGGCAGCTCCGTTGAATCCTAACGAGATGGTCATAATGGCCACACAAACGTAAGGATCGCGTCCAAAGTAGGCCAATATAATAAGCATAACTCCTGGCAAGATGTGAGCTGTTGAGGAAGAAGATTATTTAATATATTTAAGATTAAGTTACTAAATAAATACACCTACATGGCAAGCAGAAGGCCTTGCGCATTTTGGTGACCGTCAGCCAGTCCCGGCTGCGAATCCAATCTGCCACTGCTCCGAATCCAAAGGCGCAGACCAGACGTGCCACATGCGGCAAGCTTGAAAGGAATCCGGCCGAGGAAAGATTGAAGCCCAGGACCTCGCTCAAGAATTTGGGAGTGGCGGTGATCAGGAAGAACAGGCCCCACATGCTGCCGTAATGAAGGAGTAGCAGGGACCAGAAGGGCAGCGAAAGAACCAGATCCTTGTATGGAGGCCATTTCTGGAAGAGATCATTATTAGAAAAACTTCTAAAATATAAAAAAAATGCCACAAACGCACCTTCTTGTTGCTGAGGGTATTGCCCAAACTATTCTCAATGTACTCCTTCTCCTTGAGGCTGATGGAACTGTGCTGGGCAGGAGTATCAGCCACCAGATAGAACCACACTGCCACCACAATCAGGACAAATATTCCCACGGCGTAGAAAGCCCATCTCCAGCCCAGGTTCTCGATGATCACTCCGCTAATGGGCCAAGTAATAACTGTGCCGAAGGTTCCACCCATCAGCGAGGCCACAAACTTGCCCTTCTCGTCTGGTGGCGACCATTTGGACACCAAACTGTGGCAGCAGGGATACACTACCCCGTTGAGGAAACCGATCAGGAAACGGACGGCAAAAACAGCATATTTGTCCCAAGCAGCAGCTGCAGGCGTTAAAGCCGTAAGGATTCCGGCCACCAGACAACTATATCCTGCCACATTCCGGGCTCCCAACATTTCGGCAAGGGTTCCGGCTGGCAGGGAAGTGATCATGTAGCCATAGAAATAGGCTCCCAGGAGAAGGGCCTGATCCGATTGAGTCCAATTGTACCGAGGGCCATACTGTAATTACATTTTAAAAATATAATTTAAGGCCAATACTTAAAAAAAATGAATCATTATGAGTTTCCAGGAACGGGAGATAAATGGGAGATATTTTTTAAAAATTAAGTGAAATTCCCAATCAACAGGTGACTCAAAAAAAGTGTTAATTTAAGGCTTAAAAATTAAGGTAAGTTTATTGTTTTTCTCCGAAATACCATTTGGCTTGTCCCCTTTTAAAAAAAAGACTTAAAACTCACATCAGGCAGGACCTCCGTGGTGCCATTATCATTGCTGCTATTGTCCACCATGGCAATGATGTTGATGGAGAGATTCACCCTCATCATGTAGCTCAGGAGACAGGCCATGAACAGCATGATGGCCACGTTGACCCGCTTGGGCACATAGACTGAAAACGACAATAAATATTTATTATTGACAGATTATTTATTCGGAATTCGAACGCGGCACAGGCCCCTCTCAGATTATTAGAGTAATTAGCGGAGATCTCTATTCCAGGGGGACTGCCTGACTCAAAATTAAAATACTAATGGGTTGCGCATGCGCAAATTTCAATATTTGCAGTTCGGATATAATATTTTTCGGGGGTATTTGGGATTTCACTTTGACTTCCAGCACAACAGCTCACGTGAGGCTTTATGGATGTATGACTCGTGCTCCGAGCGAATTCGAGCGTGTGGCAATATACAATATTCCGCGAACCGGAGATGGATTCGGATACTTACAGCACGGCATGAAGGCCATTTTGGAGGCTTTTGTTATGGGTCCGGTGGCACTCGACAGGTGTCAGCTGAAACGAGAGGAAAACAACAACAGGAAGCTGTTAGCCAGATACTTTTATGCAGATCACTTTACGGGGGTACTCCCCCTTGGATTCGGATGCTCATTTGCCAAAATTTATGGAAGCATAAAATAAATAAATTATTAATTATAGCCGAGTCATCCTCAGCTGATCTCGAAGATCCATAGCCTATAATAAACTTGTGGCTATTTTTGGAAACTTTTTTGGGCAAAAACGTGAGGAGATATTTAGTTTTGTTTCCAGTATTCCTATTCCTAATATCTCGTATTTATTTAATGATTTTGATTACTTTGTCTATTAACCTATTATCTCAATGAAGATGTCATAATACCGCCAGCTTAGAATCGATAATCGTAGGGCACGTGTAACGGTCTATTTAGAATTGCCAAGCGTATCACTCGAAAGTGCTTTTGGCGGTATCTACGTGCAATGCACTTGTCAGATTCTATGAGCACGTCCCACTCGGCTTTTGGCCGACGGCACGTGAGAGACCCGTTTAAATAAATTAAGAGTTGCGGTTAATACTAAAATTTTAATTTCACAAAAAAAAATAAATCAAAATTAACCGGCAACGATCGTGCCACAAAAGTGTCGAACACCAACGTCACAGTTGCCGGAAAATAGGAAGCTGCTACTCGTAATTGCCCAGCAACATGCTACGATCATTTTCAAATCATTCAAAAATTAAAATCTTTAAAGATTTGATAATGCCATTTATGGCTATCGAAGCCAGTGAGAATCGCGTCGTAATAAAAGCCAAGTTCGGGGTAATTGAAGCATTTAAACAGCTGCCCGGTTGCACTTTCCATACAAAAAAAATGTTTGCGCAAAAGCCTTTCTTTTATAAATAGTATATACTATAGGGGGATATATAAAGGGAGTTTTAATTAAGTAGCCCACTCGTTGGATTGCTTCATTTTTCCATCCATATGGCACAGTTTTTGGTTATAAATCAGCCTGGGAGAAAAATTTAGAAACAAATTCAACCGCTAATTGAGTTTCCCCGTTCTTAACTGATTTAAGAGCCCCTTAAATCATGAAGTACGTATAGAAAGAGGAGGGCCCTTATAAATATACACCTTAAATTTTAACTAATAACCAGCATGATACCTTATCTCAAGCAAATTTCTCAATGGAACCAGGGAAAGGCAGTAAAGTTTTGTATAAAACAAGCGCCAACTTTATCTACAAGAGCTCAAAAAAAACCCGAAGAAACAAAAGGTTTTGTTTCTTTTTGTTCCATAAATAGATATTTCATCTATATAGGTAGTATCCCAAGCACAGACTAGATAACTACAGTGCTAGATCAATATTTCAATTGGGGTTTTAATTACGTGATGAGGATGTGAAATACCCAATGGATTCGGGAAAACTAATTCGGAATCAAAATTATTGATTTGCCAATACGTGAATTGAAATTTCTTAATTATATATGCTCATGGGAAAAGATCAAAGAACCCTGCCAATTAATGACCTTCAGATTTAATTTAGACTTAATAGTAAGTTAGTGAACTTTTAATTATAGGGCAGAATTAGAGAGATTCACGATCTTGGACGAGATTGTGCACCGAAAGTGCATTGTTTTGAAAGCCTAAACAAATCATCTTTCTTTTTTATTTTGTGACTTTAGTATGTGTTTTTTCCCCAAGTAACTAACTAAGTCAGCCTCTCTGTCTAATCTTAAACGTTACGTTCCATCAACATTGCCTCGAATGTCGGAGGACTCCATAAAATCAGCTCGACAATTTATTGGCCATAAAGTAGGTGTTATAAAATATATAGTCGAATATGGCGCACGGACGTAGCGAGATAAGTTTTAGCCATCATTGAATTAATAAACGACGGTCATTAAAGTCAGGTTAATCGTCAATTAGCCGCAATCGCAGTGGACTGTGGATTGATACGATAAATGATTTGATTTACGACCGGATAACAGGATCAAAATACACTATAACCAAGCTGATAAAATGGCTTGATTTCTTGGAACTGAACGAGAGTTCATCCAGTGTCTTATTAGTTATGCCCAACACGATTGCTATTTTACATAAGAGTTGGGTTACCCACTTGACACAGTTTTGAGGTGGGTCTCTCTTTCCCCATATCTTTGGCTATATGTATCTGCGGATCCTCGACATGCCATAGACCCCCCTGTCTCATTTGTTGTCACCTGGCTAGAACTGGCTAGAACTCTGCAAATTAAGTCAACGGCAATCAACCGTAACTGGCAAACAAATGGCAAAAAAAAAGGTAATGAACCCAGTTAGTTGGCATTTTTTGTGAATTGTAGATCATTGTTTTTATTATTTTTTTTCGATTTCGGTTCTCATAGCCTCACAACAAACTACTATTTGCACTAATTCCCATTGAAATCATATAATTTGTTTTGTTTCTGTTTTTTTTGCATTTTTGCACGTTATAATTAAATTTTTTTCGGAAAGGGAAAAAAAGTGAGCTTTATAAAATATATATTGTATAACGATTTTAAATACCTGTCCATTTGAATAATGAGAAATCAATGCGACAATGTCGAATATTACACGCGCATGTTAATAACAAACACGAGTGGCAAATATTAAACCGTGCGTTTTTAAATTATATTATTTATAATTCATAATATTATGGCATACGATTTTGAAAAAATATATTTGACATTAACCCAGTAACAAGTTCCCAATCCAGCCAGATAGTCTGGTATTTAGACTTTCTGGACTGAAAGATTATCGATTCCCGGACCGGACCGGAAAGAGATCACTTGCCCAAATCCACAATAAAAATTGAAATTGTTTCGGAACGGTGGTCGCGGTTCAATGAATCGCATCCAAAAAATAACCCAAACCAGTTATTATTTGAAATGCAAATTTTTTTTTTTTTTTGATCAAAATGGCCAAAAACATCCGACAATATAGATCGAAAGTAGAACGAAAAGAGGGCCTGTCTGTGAATATTATTTCATGATCCACTCTTCTATGGTTCGAATAATTTTTGAAAATAATTAATTCACACCATCGATCACAAAACACTATAAAGTCTTCGCTGTTTATCTTCACTTATGTGTATTCGTCTCGCACTTCTTTCGTGGCACAATTTTGCATGGAATTTTTCCACAAAAAACGGCCCCCAAAAAATCATATATGAATTTTGTTTCAAAATTTATCCCAAAAAACTGGACTTTCCCGTTGAGAGGCACCCGAAAAATGCGTTAATTGCACCGACTCACTTTTGTTATTTGTGGTATTTTTTTGGGGAGTAGAGTTTGGCTTAACTACTACTTGGTTAATTTTGGTAGCCGGCCACCGCCGCCGAATCAAGCTGCTGAGAACGTCGAGCGTCGCCGAATGAAGCTAAATCGCCAACTGCCAATGGCATATATACTTGGGGCGACGATTTTTTAAGCAAAACTTCCACCTGCCGCAGCGCAGTCGTCGCAGTCGCAGTCGCAGTCACTGTTTTAGCCGGCAGCGGACTGGCTAAAAAAAAACGGTTAAAAATTGTTTAAATTGTTGTTGACGGCTAAAACCTCCTATAGCTTATAGAGCCACCGACGGACTGCCTCTTAACGCTTTCTGATAGCGTGCCAAAAATCGCATGCGATTTTACTTACCTTACGCCAAAAAGTCAAAACGAAACAGTGCTTTTTTTTCGCTAAAAAAAATATCACAAAATCGTGCTAAAATGTAAATCAATAAAAACACGGTGACTAACAATTTAAAATAAGTTTCTATATCCACACACACATATAATATTCCTTGCTAATTTATTGTACAAATGCGCGTTGGTGCTGAATAGTTTATGAAGGAATTTGGCAGTTTTATAACTCTTACAACTTCTTAAATTAAGTTTTTAAAAAAATACAATTATTAAAAACGTGTTGCGAAAAGCCAGCTAACCGTTCATGTGTTTTATATAATTAGCGTAGTTGGCAAATGTCAGCGAAAAGCCACAGAAGCGCAGAATATTTATTATTTGTTATTCCTCCTCACCTGGAACAACTTCGATACTAATTGCTAAGAACAGGTGACCTGATGGCATCCGAACCTTTCGGCAGCCTACCGCTTTTTAACTCTATAGCTTCCTGGTCGACTAACTATCTCATGATATAGGCCATATAGTATTATCTCCGCTGGCTGGTTATCCGACAAGTGCCAACATGGAATGTGTGGGTGGCCGGAGCCGTTGCCAGCCCCATAAAGCTTAATTGATGCATTTAGCTGCTTGTTCCTGATAAGCTCCCATGATGAGTGAAAACATCTGTCGGCTTGTCTCCTGGCCGTTTGTATTAATGACTTACAGCTTACTTTAAAAGCACCTGATACACAATACAAACTCTGAATATATTTAAGTGCAAGGCCATTGAACATTTAATGATATTGTAAAGCTGATTTAATTTAGAACATATTTGCTAAGATCAACAATGAATAAACAATCCAAGGATGGCTAAAGATTGGTTCATTTAGGACATGTTAACGTAGAGCATGCGTCGGGCGCAATCTTTGCCCACTAGCCTGCTGTATTCTATAATCGTGTCCCGTTCCTGGTCTCGGCCAACAATCTAAAAAAAAAATTAATAAATTAACCATTGAAACCACTTTAAATATCCAACTTCTAATACCTTCAAATATTGCTTGTAATCTGTAAAGGTTTTGGAATCTAGCAGCAGCATAACTTCATCCAAGTGCTCGATTAGGAACTCATTAACATCCCTGGCAGCATCGTCCGGATTAAGACGCTGGTATTTGTTTTCATCCAGCTTGGAACGTATGGCTAATGATGACAATAAAATAGTTATAATTAGACGAGCAGATAAAGGGAATTTTCCAGTGTTATCACCATCAGTAAGCGTTAGCCAGACGTAAGTCTCTGGGCACAGCAAGTACGAGGCAGACAGTTTGCCCTTGTAGCGCATTTTGGGGCAGGAGTGGATGTAGAAGCCCATGTAGTAATATTTCAATGAGGGCACGCTCTCGGCTATCGTCTGAACAAAGTCTATTTCCCTGAAATAATCAAATTCAACTTTGAATACAGCATTGTATTTTCAATAGCCGACAAGTCACTACCTAAGAGATCCATATGTTCCAAGCGATAAAAAGCTATAGTCTGGGTCGTAAAAAAAGTACACGGAACTAACAGATCCAGGCAGTATGTCAATCACACCCACAGCTACTAGCTTATCGTCCAGCCAATACTGTTGATGAAACGATCCGTAGCCCATTTCAGGCCCATCCGAAGGCTTCTCATTCTGCAATGCAATTAGAAAATCATTATCAAGTACATGCCCTAAAAAGTTGGATGTCCGAATAAAATAACGCTGAAAATGGGGCAACCTTCATGGGCGTCATTTGCAGATGATCCTTGTAGGCCTCCGTGTCCTTGGGCGGATCGTTGTGTATAGCTATCTGATACTTTCTGTACAGACTGTAGCTGGCAGACAGAGTGGTCTTGAATTCGTTGCTGTGGACGTGCACCAGACGCAGCTGCAAAGAGAATTCGGGTAAAGAGAATCATAGTTTATAATTACCTTAAGGGGCGATTTGACCAAGAACCGCTGCATACTAGCAAGGGTGAGGCGTGCAGGATTATCATTATGAACGACTAACTGGTACTTGCGATACAATGCGAGCACCTCATCAGCGCAAGTGCGCTCAATGTCTGAGGAAGCGACCAAAGTGATCTGCAAGAACACAAACAGCACAAGACAGTGTGTCTACATGTAGAGGGACACTCGTATTGGGGGTTCATCGGTCACAGGTTAGACATAAGCACACACACAACGCAAACCGAATATACAACACAAAATTACTAACACGCTAGCCTACCAAGCTTTGCATACGGCCACAAACAATAGTTTAACAATACAGAAGCAACTGGTACATACTTTCAGCTTATGCTTGTCAGTCTCGCTCGCCGACGATATAAAGTCGCGCAGACCCTTCTCCTGAGAACCGGATTTCGTGGGTGGTGGTGCTGAATCACCCAGTTTGGCCTGCCGGCGCTCCAAGCGCATTTGTTTCGCCTTCTTCCGCGGCGCATTTGAGATCGGTGCGGCAGCTAAAAGGAGAGCAATAAATCATAATCTTCATTAAAATCAGAATCGTATACTTACACTTGTTGGTTCCCAAAGTTGGTGGTGGAGCTGACGGAGCAGTAGCACCTGCTGGGGTCGGCTTGGCTACCGGGTTAGGTTTCTTGTGAGCCTCCACAAGTGACGCAACTTGCTCTACATTGATAACAGCCGGACTCTTATCAGGCAGCTGCGGTTGAGGCTCGCTGGCATTGACCTCGCCATGTAAAGTGGCGTCATCCGCATCCCCATGCCCGTCACCGCCATTCCCAGGCCCGGAATCACGCTTTCCATCACGCAAATACCGCGACATACGCCTCAGAATACGCTTATTGGACTTGGTCAGCTTGAACTCCAGGGCATCGCACTTTATGGTGTAACAGGGGCAGCACGTATCCTCATTGCGCAGCTTGTAGCAGTAGTTTCCACAGCGACGCCAGCCGCGGTCGATGAGGTCCTGATAGTCCTGGCATCGCATGGTGTACGCATGCATACCTGAGTCATACATAATGAAAGTACAATGAGTTCAGTGCATCTGGGGACTGGTTTTTGGTTCTTGTTCTTGGCTTTTGTTCTCACCGTGCGACTTGCTGCAGTTGGTGCCGGAGCAGTAGCCACACTTGCTCAGCTGGCTGCCATAATATTGCACAATGCTCATGCTCATGTTGCCGACGATGCCTTTTTACCACCGTTCAATGTATTAACATATCGCAATTAAAAGTATCCAAATTGAATTCCCGAGCCGCTATTGCGAAATATTTTACATATTCGATGGAGCTCGTACGATACGATAGTATCGATAGTTCCGTTAGAGACGGCACTCCCGCGATATACAAATTGGCCCAAAAGTACCTTTTAAGACAGTTTGCTGGCCACACTGGCCTAATTCGGTAAACTTGATGTCCCAAGTTTCATAAAATATATTAAGCGCCGCTTTAGCTGAAGTCACTAAGAATGAATTAACTTAGAAGCACCCTGGCACCACATTGTAAGTGCCCGACCCAAGAAGCCGCAAACTAATCGTTAAAGCCGTTAAATAGCAGACGTCTGGACAAAGTGCGTAGTTGAGTGAAAGTTTTTATGGCCTTTCTTTGGCACAGGTAGCTTTGAAATGCACTTTTATTGGTAATGATATGCGTTACAATGCAAGCTCGAGGTGAAACCGGATTCTGGTACGATTACCATAAAAATTCCCTTCGATTTATTGACAAAGTTAACAACAAAAGCTCCAGTTTCTGGCCAGTTTCTAAGGTGGCTCAGACGACCTTCACACCTTTCCAACAAAGTTAGTCAGTTGCATCCTGTAACAAAGTAAATAGTTGGGGTCTGTTATCACGCTGTGTAGTTTGATAAGCCTTTTGTGCTTGGAAACAAAGAAATAACAAATAAATAAACTACCAACTTTCTATTCTGTAGCGCACAATGATTGACGCAACATCTGCCGAGCGGGGAAGTCCCCAACTGAGCGCTCTCTTCAACGACAATCTGAAACTAGCCCACGAAGACGGGATCCGGAGCTCGATGAACGGAAAGGCTGGACCGGAGACCATTGACCCACCCTCCAACGTACCCTCCGACTTGCAGACAGCTTACGGTAGCCTTTTCTCCGCTTGCCAGGAGCACGCCTCCTTCTTCGCCAAGGACAACACCGAGTACGGTCAGCGCCTGCATGCCGCCCACATTGCCTGGCAGGACTTCATTGTACTGGCCAATAGGCTGGTCCTGCAGATCCAAGCCTTTGCCCACGAGTACGACTTCGATGAGGAGACGCCCGGCAATGGATACCGCAGCTTCATCTATGTTACCAACGCCTGCATTTCCCACGGCAGCAACATTTGCCGGCAGCTTCTCGCCTTTCGGTCGACGCTTTTCTTCCGCAAGAAATACTACATGAAGGAGGTCGAGGCCTGCTCCCAACTGCTCTCCTCCCTGTGCACCTGTATGCAGTATCTGCTGATCCTGCGACAATGGTCGGTCAACACCGGCGACCTGTTCGCCTGCGGAAACCACACTGCCGAGCAGCTCTTCGAGCTGGGCGACACAATCAATCAGTATTGCTTCTATGGACGCTGTCTGGGCTTTCAGTATGGAGACTCCATTCGGGGAGTGCTCCGATTCCTGGGCATCTCCATGGCCAGTTACTCGGAGTCGTTCTACTCCCAGGAGGGCGACGGAGCCATCGTCAAGACCACCCGGAGTCTGTGGACCAGTGGAAAGTACCTCATGAATCCGGAACTACGTGCCCGCCGCATCGTAAACATTTCGCAGAACGCCAAGATCGAATTCTGCAAATCCTTCTGGTTCCTTGCCGAGTCAGAGCTGATGCATAAGCTCCCCAGCATCGTGGGAAGTTCCATTAAGGTCAACCGGCTGATAGAGCTGCCGGCGGAGCCCCTCAAGCTACCAAGGCGGAAGGGCTTCAAGCCATCGGAGAATTCCAGCAGCGACGTCAATCAGAACCAGGGAGACAATGAGTTCGTGGATATACCAGTGCCCACAGCTCATCTGGGGCCTGGTCTGCCGGTTTCTGTGCGTCTACTGAGCGCCAGAAGACGCTCCGGAATGTTGGGCGAGGGCCGGTACCGGGGATGGCACAAGCCTCCAGCGCCGAGCCGATCGATTCTGTTCCACTGCCATGGTGGCGGTTTTGTGGCCCAGTCCTCCAAGTCCCATGAGCTATACCTGAGGGATTGGGCCGTGTCCCTGGACTGCCCCATTCTCTCGGTGGACTACAGCCTGGCACCGGAAGCTCCGTTCCCACGAGCCCTCCAGGAGGTGTACTACGCGTACTGCTGGATGCTGAACAATACCGAACTCCTAGGTACGACAGCGGAAAGGATTGTGTGTGCTGGGGACTCCGCTGGGGCCAATCTCTCTATTGGAGTGGCTCTCAAGTGCATCGAGCAAGGAGTTCGCGTGCCAGACGGACTGTTCCTGGCCTACTGCCCCACTCTGGTCAGCTTTGTGCCCAGTCCAGCTCGACTTCTGTGCCTGATGGATCCTTTGCTGCCATTCGGTTTCATGATGCGATGCCTACGTGCCTATGCAGCTCCTGCCCAGGAGACGCTGAGAGAGAACGCCAAGCACGTCGAGGATGCGGCTCAGATACGCAACGCCCAGAAGTCCAATGTGGGTAGTCTCAACTCCAGTCGCCGCACCTCGATAGCCCGGAGTCCTCTGACACCACTGGAAGCTAACCCAGAGCCGGATGACGACAGCAGTGACACCTTCGCCAGTGCCTCGGCCTCGTACCACAGCCAGACCGTGGAGCGAACCGATCTGCCCAACACCGAGGGCGACAACAGCTCTTGTGTCTCCTTTGAAGACGACTCGCAACCGATTGTCCACTATCCCGTCGAGATTTCGGCCGACACCCCACAGGACGCCGCCTCGGCAGCCTACATTGACAACTTCCTGGACAAGTATCTGATTGACACCGCCACCATGGAGGCGACCGAAGAAACAGATGCCCAGGAACGCCAGGTGAAGGAAAACGGTCATGGAAAGGTCAACGCGGATGATAATATCCTTGTGGAGACGGGACGCGATCTTATCGCCATAGACACGCTTCAGGGAAGGCTTCAGGATGCAGTCAACAACATAACAAGTACCCTGACCCGCTACACGCAGTCCTACGAGATCCATGGGGCCAACACGGTGGACCAACGAGACGTGCGCAACATGGATGCCCTGATTGCCAGGAGCCCCAGCGAGGAGTTTGCCTTTGATGTGCCTAAGGATCCCTTCCTGTCGCCCTATTGGGCCAGTGACGAATGGCTATCCCAGATGCCAGAAACAAAAATACTTGTGAGTTAAAAGATTATTCGCATTTTTATTCCAAATCCCTCTAATGTCCTCACTTACAGACTCTTAACATGGATCCTTGCTTGGATGACTGCGTAATGTTTGCCAAGAAACTCAAGCGCCTGGGCCGCGACGTGCACTTGGAGATTCTGGAGGGTCTACCACATGGATTCCTAAACTTTACAATGGTAAGCTTGAATATTCTTAGACATTTCAAAGTCCTAATAAATGCCCTTTTCAGTTGTCCAATGAGGCCATGGAGGGATCCAAGCACTGCATTGCATCTCTACAGAAACTACTTCAAGTCACTCCGAAGGACAAAGCCGAAGAGGACGAGGAGTCCTCCAGTCCCAGTGCCAGCTTAGCGGCATCGTAGGATGAGTTTCAGTCGGTCTATACACCTATTGGAGTGGAGAACGAGGATCTCCCAAGCCAGGAAGAGTAGATGTACAGATCGAATATTGTTATATGCCGGAACAGAATGTTCATTGTTAAACGCACCTTTCTTGCTTTGTTTATTTTGTAATCTCAAGCCGTTTTTTTTATACAATTTTGTACGGACACAGCTTTCTATGTTTTATATACTCACAGTTTATGTAATAGGTCATATATACATTTAGCTTTTAGCCAAGCCAAGTATGCAAGTATTGGAAGCGTGTAAACACGCATAATTTATTATACAACTATATATTATATACTATTATACAAATGTACAATGCTCTTGAACCACAGGCACCCATTCGATAAGAGCTGTTTAAAGCAAAACTCCCGAATATCGTGCCTGAGACGTAACAAGTACTTACATTCACAAGGAAATCGCCCTCAAATAAAAAAAATAGCCAGAGAACTTGAAAAGAAGTCTTTCAGAAATACCAACTGGGTTGTGTAAAATAAATGTCTCATTTTATTGCAATCTCTATATTTATAAATTAATTTGTACAGTAATTAAAAAAATAAGTAATTAGCACAATCGATTATAGCTCTGCACATACATATGATCCTTTAAAACCGATCATTTCGCTGCATAATAACTTGAGATATTTGTAAAATTTTAATGGCCATCCGTATCAGGTGATGAATTCGTTAAATTGGGCAACATAATTCGTACTTTTTGTTTCATTTAAATATATATAGTTTAGAGATTAGTATTCCGCACGACGTCTATAGTTCCGGATGCTGTTGGCGAGGCAGCAGGCAAAGACAAAGCCAACAAACTAAAAGGATAAAATAATAATAAGGATTAAATTTCTATTTAGAATAGTATATAGATTCCAACTCACCTCAATGGCTGCAATAACCAGACCGGAATACTTGATGATGTCGCTGTTCCTGTCCCAGAAATCAACAAAGGCTCCCTTGCAGCCTCGCCTGTAGACGGTGTCCGAGCGGCAGTTGTTGGTGTCCTTGCAGCAAGAGGGCGGGAAGAAGCCCTGGTAGGAGTAGTCGGTGTAGCTGCTGCGTCCACAGCACTCCATCTAAAGGATATAATAGTTATAATCATCATATTATTCCGACAAACTTTATCTTCCAAAACTTACGCTAATCTGAATGGCATCCATGTAGTCGGCACGACGGGTACGACGCTCCCAGGCCTTCTCCACCACATCGCCCATCAGCTTGAGGTACTGCTCCTTGTGCACCCACATGTAAATGACCAAGGCCAGCTGGCCAATCATCAGGACGAACAATAGAATCGAGTACTAAAGGAAGGATATATCATTATCTTAAGGGTCTATATATGCCTTAAAAAGAGGATGTCTTACCGTCATGGACATGCAATAGGATTCCCGGATAGCTCCACAGCAGCCGAACCATGAGATCAGCAGGATAACGGCTCCCAGGACGATCATGGTAATCGGAACCTGCTGGTTTCTGACGGCCTCCGCGAAGTCATCGATGCTGTGAATATTGCTGAACAGCAAAGCTCCAAACACGATCAGCAAAATGCCACATATCTGAGGAGATAATCAGAATATTGAAAAATAATAAGAAAAGTCTATTATATGAGAATTGGGGAAGATATAGCCACCACAGAGGACCCTATAGGGGAAAACCCCATTTTCAAGGGACCCCATCAGAAAAATGGACAAAAAATCTAAAAAATATTTTGTCTCAGGATTTTGATGCAGAATGGTGGAGAATCGATCCACAAATCGTTTAAGGTACTCCGCTTGAGAATCGGATAAGAATTGGAGGAGATATCGCCATCACAGTGGACCCTATAGAGGAAAACCTGTGGTAGGAAAACCTAGGCTTTCGAAAAAACGATACTTTTTCAATTAAACCTAGGTCCTTTGAGATTTTCTTGTAAAAGATCCCTGAACTAACTACATTTATTAGTTATTATCCTTTATGCTACTACTATCTATTTTATAAAATATGTTGTGTATTATATTAGTTTAGTTCTGGCTCGTCAAACTGGCTTATCTCTTATCGCCTCCTGTGGCTAATTAAGATTACTGTGAGCCCCTCTGCGATAACCATCGAAAACAAATTTACCTTGGCTTTGATTTTCTATCGTCCTGCGTCATGCTCTATTTAATTAATAAGATAAACTATTATCATTTGGATCTATTAGCACAGTGACTAATGGCCAAGCTGGCGAGTTCAGCAGTTCATTGGAGCAGATCAGATCGGAAGAAATGAGAGCAGAATTGCGACATCAGCGATCAGTCTAATTATATAGCCCCACACCCACCCGTCTGGGTGGGTCTCTGCCACTGTCCGGCATCCCCAGGCCCCTCTTCCGCCCCCGAAATTGTGTTTGTGGAAAATTGAGTTCAAGTTTGTTTTTTTTTTGGCTCCCATTGAAATGGGGGCAAGTTCATCTTTAATTAAGTCAACTATTTTCGGCTGTCCCATCCAAAGTAATTACACAATTTTATATTGAAAATGAACTCTACCAGACAGAGTATAGAATTGGAATTGGAATTTCATGTTTTGCGTGACGGGAATAATATTTGTACCACGTCGCTGTCCGATAACACCTGGAAATCAGAGGGCTCCAAACTGTTTGACCAGAGTACAGTTTCACCCGTTGCACCGCGGCAGTTAGAAGTTGCAAAACCCATATTGAAATGCCACTGATGGTGGTGGCTTTCGTTTCCATTTGGAACCAGTCGCCTCGGCCACCAGTTAACCTCGGGGCCCCAGCCGGATGCCATAATACTACTATGTGCGATTGTACGAATGTGGGGGAACTCTATCCAAAACTCGTTTAAGGTAACCGAAATAAACAAAAGTCATGAATACAGAATATTTTTGGTAGCACTACGTCACTGAGGTGGTAGCCCCAATTTTAATAACAGGTTTGGAATACTGATGATCTCAAGACTGGGCCCCCACGATGTACAGTTCGCTAGAAAAGTCTAATGCCTTTTTGAATAAAAACATAGAACCCAGATATTATTAAATTTTTAATTAATAGAGTTCTATAATTAGCCTTACACCCCTGAAACGCACTGTCTTCGACCAGTTTGTAGGCCTGAAACTTTCTCAGTTTTTGGTCAAGAGAAGGAGAAACCAGTTTATACCGTAGCATGCAACTTATAAGATTGGGGGAAGGGGACATGGGCTGGGCGTTGAAAATATGATATAATCTATAAGGTAGGTGACTTACCGAACAGAGCAAATTAAATATAAATAGTATATATTTAACCATGGAGATTCCGCAGCTCATTTTGGTTGAGATTCGTGGGACGGTGGAGAAAGAACTGCAATCGTTCGGGGGAACAGAAAATAACGAAATGGGATGTGTGAAAATCAAAATACGTATTCAAAGTTAGGTATTATATCGTTTTATTTGGGAAACGGTGTCCACATTATATTCTAAAACTCTCAAGCACACGCACACACTCACAGCACACACACACACGCAGAGAAGACGGAGTGATGTCATCCGTGATCCAAAAACAACATTTTGTTTATTTTTCGAATAAAAATGCTTGCGTTCGTTTAAGCCAAATTGTGCAAATTGGCACAAAATCACGTACAGCTGGACTGTGGATCGTTTGTCGTTAGTCGTTTTGAGTTAGCACCCCGGAGATCGGAGATCGGCTGGAGTATCAGCGAACCAGCTCTGGGAGGAGCTTCTCCTTGGGCAGGAGGCGCTGCTTGAGCTCATTGAAGCGCCGCCAGATGTACGGATAGCTGGCCGCCCAGGACAGCCATGCCTCCTTCTCGGCAGTGGTGCGTTCCACCTTCTGCAAGTGCTGGTAGTACTTCCCATTGCGCTTCACAGCTGCGGCAGCGTCCTGGGCGAAGCGGGCAAAACGCAGCTTGAGCAGGGTCTCCGAGACGTCCAGGAGACGGTTGCCCTTGGGCGGATGGACCAGGCACAGCTGGCAGACGACGTAGTCCTTGCTACTGGTCTTTAGCGGCAGGAAGGTAGCCTCCCGTCCGACGAGGCACTGGTTCAGCCAGGAGTAGCCGTTGGCATTGACACGAACGCCCGGCAGCTTGACCGGCAGCAGGCGCTTCCGGCTGGTGAACAGCGGAATCAGTGGCCGGTGCTGGATGAGAAGGAGCGTGTCCTGGTCGCGCTGCTGCACCCCAGAGATCCGGCCTGTGTGCATGACGCGCTCGTTAATGAGACGCTCGGGGATGTGGGAAGGCTGTTTGAACTGCCGGACCAGGTAGGCGGGCTTGCGCTTCACGTAGGCCACCGCCAGCATGAGGGCGGACGTGCCGTAGATGACCAGCTCGCTGCCGATTGTGTCCCGTTCCAGGTAGTTACATAAGCCCTGGTACTTGGCCTGCAGGTATTCCTTTGTGGACTCCATCCCGTATCGCGGATTAAGTAACTGGCGCCTGCAAATGCTCGGATGTAGATAGTTTCGAGTGATTCCGCTAGTGGTCACTTTACCAGCACCAACTTGTTATGTATTAGGGGGCTGGATGTGCGTATTTCCACGGTGGTGGAAAATGGGCTAATTTTGTCGTTTTGACAAACTTTCGGATTCTGTTCAGCTTTCTTGGCAACGATTCTGTTTTGCTTCTGAGACTTTGACATTTGTGCCTGCCGGCCGCAAGTGGGAGCAGTCCAGCTAGAGGGTACCCAGTTTATGATCTCACTGCGCGTGCTTTACAACACTGGCTTACGCTCTTCCGCCCATTCAAGCTCTCTTTTTCTCTCTCACACTCACACACACTCACACATGCATCTGGTTTAAAAACAAAACATATACACACACCTGTTGACTTTGGGCTTAACTTTTTCAAAAATGTTGATTTTCGCGCGCGTTCTGTGGAATGAACCGTTCGTGAGTCGAAGTCAAAAGAGACTGGCGAGATCGACCAGCAACGAAAAGCTTTCCAGCTTCAACCGCCTGCCACGACACCCACACACTCACACACTAGCGGCCGACTCGCACACAGATACTTTGGCGCGTAGAATTTGTTTTGGTTACCCGTTGCTATCCCGACCCTCTTCTGTTGCTGGGTTTGGGTTAATTGCAGTAACTTGTTTTTTATTTACATACTTATTATTTTTGTTATTTTTGTAACCAATCGGCTGACTAAGCCCTTTGTTTATTTGTTGATATATGCAAATTTTGTAGTGTTGCGGTCACGGTCGGATATCTGGCTATAATGAAAAATGATATATATTTAATATGATTTAGTTACAGTAAATAATAAATAATAAATTAAAAAAAAAAACCTTAAATAATTGTTTATTTTTAATATAAATTTCAGTTATTAAAAGGTGTGGATTTTTAAATAAAATATAATATTTAATTAAAAACCCCCTTGAAAGCTAAAAAAAAAAATCGATACTGCAGTTGCGGTTTTTTGAACTGTCGTGGGCGTATCTGACTTTTCCTGAAAACCCTGACAGCCATCCCGTTTAGGCCGTGTTTTTATTTAAAGTTTCCATAAACCACAATACTTTCTATGGCTTCGGGCATGGCTTCCGTTTTTAATTACCCCCCCGGTTTGGAGCTCTCAAACCATTGTAATTGTCTGTAACTTTTCCTTGACACACAAACAACAACAACAACAACAAAATAACAATAGTGACGGCCAACACACAAAACTGGTTTTCAACGGGTGTGCTGTAAGTGTTACGTAATCGGATTGGACGAGTCTAGGCCTAGACTTGGAAACTTTTATTTTCGAATTTCTGGAGTGACGAAGAATACTCTGCCCGCTCTGGCACCCACTGCCATTGCTAATTAACATGTGTGTGCCGTGTAATTGACCCCAACTTGTTCCGTATTTCAATGAATTTCCACAACGAGCTTTAAAAACAAAAAAAAATGTTAATCTTGTGTGTCATCTATGGAGGTCTACACTTGCCATCTGTAGGGAATGTAAGGAATTATTGGAAGAAATGGGTGCCAAATGGCAGATTCTTATCAGTGTAAAATAATTTTATAATAATCTGAAATTACGTGAATTATTTGAAGCCAGGTTATCACTATTTTTTTAATAATTCCCAGCTGCTGTTTTCCAAGGGAATTTCCCAAGCAATTCTAGGAAGAAATGGGGGAAGTAAGAGAGATTCTTATCATTATAAAATCATTTTCCAATTAAACAGAATATTTATTATAAATTAAACTGAAATTACGTGAATATATCAGACAAAGTTATCACTATATTTTTTAATAACTCCCAGCTGCTTTTTCAGACAATTTTTAAACTTCAAAGAACATTTTAATAGAAATTTCAAATAAAGAATAAATTAAACTGAAACTTAGTGTGTTCCCAATTTTAAACGAATTGTTTTTTTATTGGTTTTTTTAATAAGAATCTCAAAAAAGGCCAGAAGCTTCTTATCAATATATTATAGTCTTCCAAGTACACGGGGATTTAATTACATATTAAATATTAATTAGGTAAACTATAAAGGTTATAAATACTTTTGAACAGAAACTTTAATCATTTAAGAACATTATAATTCAAATTTTGAATAAGAAATAAACTAAACTGAAACTTGGTGTATTCCTTATTTAAAATTAATTGTGTTTATTAACGTTTTTGATGCAAAAAATTTTGTTAATTTGAGGAACTTTACCATGTTTTCCCCAAAAATTTAATATTATTTACTTTTAAGGGCGTTTTTGATAAAAAAAAAGGAAAAATAATTTCATTAATAAGAGAAACTTTCCCATGATTTCCCTATAAATTTAATATGATAGTCTTTTTATGATGTTTTTGGGTCAAAAAGGTCAGAATCTTCTTATCAATATGAGGAACTTTCCGACGATTTCCCCATAACTTTTAATATTCGTGACTTTAAATTGTGTTTTGAGTCAAAAAAAGCCAACTTTTCTTATTAATATCAATTAACTATCAAGGTTCTGACTATTTTTTTTTAATAACTCGCTGCTACTTATCCCCAGAAACTGTAATCTTTTCAAAAACGTTATAATACGAATTTCAAACAAAGAATACCATCTGTTTCTATATTTAAACTGAAACTTAATAAAAGCCATAAAAGGCACTCTCCCACAACTATATTCCAACCTTTAAGGTAATTGTTTTTATTGACGTTTATGAATCATTTGTTCAGCCTTTCTATTTAGCCTCCGCGCTCCGCGAAATGTCGAATTACGTTAAGTAGAAGATTGTTGAGATGAAATTACCGCACAAGGGGAGGGCAATTATTGACCAGGAAAAGTGCATCACCTCCACCGCCTGGGCCGAGACGAACCAACAAACGTCACACTTGAACAATTTCGCAAATTAGCATAGGTAATCGTGAGTAATGTAGTATCTGGAATCAAGATAAAGATTAGCATCCAGAATCGTTTCCGCAGCTGAACAAACAGTAGGCATCTTCGAGCCAATGGGGGTTCTTGGCGGAGAAACAATGCCTGGGCTCTGACAAAAAAATAATAAAGTTTACTATATTCTATAATATTTCTAGAAGAAGAGCTTTCCAAGCCAGACATTTTTTGACAATTGAGATCAATGAGTTAAGATCAAGTGAACACGAACCCGAGGGCAAATGGAATTCTAACCAGTCGGAAGTGACGCCTCAAGTTCGGTTAATCGGTTGGAGAACTTTTATAGAAAATTTAATACCCTATAGCCCTTTTAAATATTTAAAACAAAGCTCCTTCGATTGGAAAATAGGGACGCCATAGTTGTGTGCTTTATTTCGTGTAACCGCCTCCATGTGGGGCAGCATAGTCATAATAATTTCCATTTAAAATCGTAAGTATATCAGTGAGTTAGTTCCGTAGCAGCAGCCGGGCTGGTGCTAGTACAGGCGTCGCGTGTAATGCAACTGTTGTCCAGGAGGGGGCTGTGGTGATCCAGACACGGATCCGGGTGGTACACCCGGCTGGCCGGGCAGCATCGCCAGTTGTTGCCGGGCTATCTGTTGTTCGTGAGCGGAGCCACCGCGTCCGGGGGCATAGCCCTGCGTTATACTGCCCACTGCTTTGGGATTCTGTAGGGGAAACTGATTAAATATTAGATAGTTTTTAGTGGGAGCTAGCCAGGATCATAACCCACCTGGCTGCTGCTTATCTGCAGCACGTTGTGATGCAGCGAGAGTTCGCTCAAGAGGGGCTTGTACACGACGCCCTCGGATAGCAGGTGTGGGGGCGGCGGCACGTGACCCGGTGGCGGACCGTCGTGCTTCGCCTCGATGTGGTAGCGGTCCGACAACTTCTCCATGGTCACCTGCGGCTTGGTCGCCTGTACGGATAGGCTGCCGCCGGCTTGCACCACCAGATCCGCCTGCGAAATGGCCGGCTGGTCGAGGTTGATGTGCAGCACCTGCATGGGCTGCGACTGTGGCGGTAGCTTGGAGGATTGGGAGTCGGGTGCCTTGCTGACGGTGGCGCTGGGCAGATCCACGTGGTAGGTCGTCTGCCGCAGTGGCATCGGGTAGTTGTACATGGTCTGGAGGCGGGCATCCGCCTGATGCTGTGTCGTCGGCGACGCCGCTGTCGTCTGGTAGAAAAGCGTTCCTGGTCCTGGATACTGTGCCGGGGTCTCTGCAAGAAAGGTACAACGGGGGTTATTGTAGGGGGGACTGTTGGAGCATAGGTGCCGGCGGAGGATCTCGGTCTTGGTATTGCGAGTGAGGTGCTTACTGTTCCATGATAGTCTAGCATAGTCCGCGGCACGACGGTAGTCATCGTGTTCTGCGAATCGATCGTAAACAAATAACGAAATGAACATAAGTTGTGTGCCTGTGTCGGTTAGCGGTTAGTGTGCGCAAATCAAATGAGATCGGGCGGGTGTGATGATCGGGGGGCGGAAGGGGTTAGCAAGCTGTTAATCAAGTACAGTGAAAGCATAGTACAGACGCTAGACATTCTACTTACAGACCAACCTCGCAAACAATAACCTCAATCTCAAATCACAAGTTTGTTAAAAATATGAAAAAATCATAAAAGGTGACAGGGTTCTCTCCTCAGAACACACACTGTACTCTAATTAATTATCATCTATTAACAAAATTCCTTTAAATTGTCTGTTAATTAGAACGATATACAAAAATAAGGAAATTCGATAGCCTGAATTCTGAATTAATTGAAAAATAATATTGTGTTTCTTCAGCTTGGGTTGTTGCGCTTTTGAGGAAAGTCAGGTTGTGATAGAAGTTCTGTGAGTGTTTTGCATATGTCCGCCTGGGGGAGCGTTCACTGTGTGTGGGGGGGAGACTCAATGGCCACCATCCTGGCTTACTCTGCTGGGCGTAGCTGGCGGCACTCTTGTAGTATGCCTGGTGCTGGTTTGGCGGTGAGGGGCTTCGACCCCGCTTTCCAGGCTGTGTTCCGGGCGGGGGCTGGAAAAGAATCATTAGCATAAGAGCACATAGGAGGAGTTAGAAGCCATTGCAGAGACCTTTTGCAGCAACTGGTGATGCTGGAGACGCAGGGGCGGCATGAACACGGGATTGCTGGCCGCCGCCTGCTGCATTATAAACAGCTCGTTTTCCTTGGCCTGCTTCTTGCGGGTCTCCTCATCGTTGATCACCTTCTTCAGCTGGACGGTGAGCTGGTGCTTCTGACTGTGCAGGTCGGCCAACTGTTCGTCCAGCCGCGTGATCTGCCCTCGTGTGTCCTCCAGCGAGAGCGTGTTCTGACGCTCCTGTTCCTCCCGTTCACGTCGCAACCGCTGCTCCTCGCACTGGGCCTCGTATTCCTCCTGGCGCCGCTGTCGGTCCGCCACGATGAAGCCCTTCAGTGCCCCTCGCAGCTTCTCCGCCCGCTCGGCCTTCGCCGCCTGGGCGGCTGCATTACTGTTATTCACCGCTGACGCTGGCGGCATCTTCGTGCTCTGCTTAGTTATCTTGCCAATTTTATAAGCCTTTCTGAAACAACCGAGCAACTCGCAAATTCTTCGATCACACCGTGGGGCTCCCTGCTGGAAACGGGAACGCCGGAGGAGCGAGTGTGGCGGGAGCGAGCTGCTGCAACGGAACGGTGGCTATATGGTCGCCGGGAAATGCTGAATGTGGAAAATAGCGCAAAAATGTGTTCACAACTCTAGGGAAATGCAAGGCGGCGCAACCGTTTTGTTAGCGTTTGTTTTTTTGTTAAATACAGGATGAGCATAGCAGTGAGCTATCGATAACACAGATAGAGATGCTCAAAAGCCAGGTTCTTTGGTTTAATTTATTTTTGAGTTAATTACTTTTAAAAAGTTGTTATTATTATTGTTTTCTTAATTATTTATACATTTTTTTGTGTAGTAGCCTTGAAACAATAAATTTTAAAGAGTGACTTGACTATCGATAGGCAGATGTTGCTACTTTAAGAGACTGTTAGTTAACAGAAACTAGTGTGACCAAAAGATACTAAATATCCAAATATACCAAACATATTTTAAAAAAATGTTTAAAAAGAGCTCTTAAAAATGCAAAATAAATAGTTTTTTTTAAGAATACTTTTTAGATGGGAAAAATATCTATACAATTTGCCAAAAAGAGAGCAAAATCAAACAAAACACATAAAAAAAGTGTGACCAGCTCCCAAAAGGGCAACAAATCCCATTCAAAACTGGCTACACTAAATACCAAATGCAGGGAAAACAAACCATCTAAAAGTACCCCCAAAGAAACCATCTTCAAGCAAAAGCCTCAAAATAATATTTGAGTGCGCGCGGCTCGGACAGTGTTTACGGACGAATTGGATTATTTATCGGAGTGCTGAGATTAAGCCATTTTGATAAGCAATTAAAAAAAGATAATACCGTTTTGTTGGTGCGGGCGGACGCGATTCGGAATTCGGGAATAATATTGCCATTGAAGAGCCAAGAAATGTGTTCAGCTCCTGCGGGCAACGCCAAGAATTAGCCAAGTGCAGTGTTTAGCAGCCAATAAGTGATACAACGTGCCTACCAACCAGTAAGGAAATAAATAGCCATCACCGCATCCCGGAGCCCGGAGCATCACGGAGAGGAATCGAGGAAGTAATCACCAGAAGCGGCAAACATGGCGAGTGAGTAATCCAAATGGCTACATGGTGGAGTCTATTGAAGTCTTGTATTTATGTGGGAGATGCAATGCCGTGTTCTTGGCGTTTTTTTTGTTTGTTGCTCGCGGCGCGTAATATAAACAATTGCAACTCATGCGTGTCATTGTGTGTGTGTGTGTGTGTGAGGGTGTCGGTGAGGGCAGTGCCACCAAATGTGGCAGTGCCTCCGATTGTACCTCTCCTTGAGGGGCTGTGCAACATTTACGAGCTGTGAAGACTACAAAAACCGAGATCCCCAGGCAGCCAGGTGCCAGGTGCTCGAGAGCGTCTGTCTGGAGCTGGGGGAGGAATCGGAGTCGGAGTCGGGAGTCGGAGAACGACGGTGGGTGGGGGTCTGCCCTGCCGGGGCGACATGTGAGAAAAATCAATATTTACGCGTTTTTGCCGCTTGTCTCTCCCAGTGCACAGTGGAACGATTTGAATTAGAATCTTGGAGGCGGCAACTCCATCCTGGTGGTCATCATCCTTTTTTCCAATCACTCGCCCAGATTCGTCCTTATCCCTTAATGGGGCCCCAGCACAGTCCTTGCAATTCTGGCGGGAATTCTATACCGAGACTGAGAGCCACCCCCTTTTTGGCCAAAAAAAAAACCAAAACCCACCACCCCCAGATGGCTGAGGATGAGGCGGGGGAGTCCTGGGAGCAGCAGTGACGACGCATTAATAAATGAGAATATGCCTCCTGCGAGGTGCAAGGTTTGCCGGCTCTAAACCCCGGGGGGTGGGTGGCATAACTGTACTAGAAAAAGGGTCGAATTGGGAGTTCCCTGGAAAAAGGCTGTATTTGGATCTTAAATGGAGGTACTAAGTCCAAGACCTGGACTTGAGAGTGTCCTGGCCATCCAACCCAGCTCCCAGCTGCTCCCAGATGTGCTCCTTTCCCCCACCGGCCCACTCGCTTGGATTTGGATTTTAATTGGTCCTTTGTGTCTGCATTTCGTCGAGTCGTCCTTCGTCCTTGTGGCTTCCACCAACCCCCAAGTCCTGCGATAAGGACGCTATCAGCAGCCCATGCCTGTGCCTTTTCTTTATTGTTATTATTATTATTTTGGGCTTCTATTTCTTTTTTGGTTCATTCGTTCCAGGGCCAGGGAGAAGGCAGCTTACCGAGATTAGCTGGATGTTATTGTAGTTTCTCCCCAGAAGCGTATTTATTGCCCTTTTCCAGCCCAGGACTTGGCCTTCTTTTTTTTTTTGTATTCCGGCGGCGTTGCCTCATCTGGAAATGGTGGAGTGCTGCCTCATCTGGTGGAGTGACTTGTGATTTCCTAGTTACCTCCCCTCCAGGACTCTCTTTTTACTGCTAATAAGATTTTGGTCCTTCTAATGGCCTTGAATGGAGGAGGAGGAGGAGGTCCTGGGAGCTCAGCTCTGTTTTAATTGAGTTCGTGCCCCATTCAAAGTGGCATGGAAATTAATTTCAATTAACTACCAAAAGCAAGACCACTTGACAAGTTTTTTGGGGAAAGGACAGACACTTCTTGGGGTTAGAAGAGTCCTTGGAACTCGGCACTTGTCGGAGAGCAAAGTTGACCTTTCCAAAGTGTTCAGATATTTCTGGAAAATTCCCAACAAAATGGCCCAGAAAAGTTAGTCAGCCAGTACCGAGTTTGGAAAACTTGAAGCCACATACCCAGACCACATACAGACCCCCCACCCACCTAGAACACCCCACCCACCAGCACATCCCAAAATTGAAAGTTTCTGATTACGCACGCTGCTGGAAAGGATCAGAGTTGGAAGCCGCCGGAAGCATGTCCCCTCCCAAGAGACAGTGCCTCGACCAGGTGGTCAACGACCTCTGCCTGGGCCACTACCAAATGGGCCTCATCCGCATCAACGAGGAACTGGACCAGCTGCGCGATCACGACCAGATCGTGGCCCTGCTGGAGCTGAAGAACATCCTGGTGCGGCTGCGGCTGGAGCTGAAGGCCGAGGAGCAGCGCTCGATTGGACCGACCCGGCACTCGGACGCCCTGCCCCACGGCTTCAGCCTGGAGATGCTGGACGTGGTGCAGAAGGTGCTCCGGTGCCGCAACCACTACGAGGTGCTGCGCGTCTCCCATCACGCCACCTACTCGGAGGTGAAGCGGGCCTACCACAAGCTGGCCCTGCGCCTCCATCCCGACAAGAATCTGTGCCCCGGGGCCGAGCAGGCCTTCCGGAGGATCAGCGAGGCGGCCGACTGCCTCACCGACTGCCAGAAGCGGATCGAGTACAACATAGTGACCGCTGTGGGGGATTGCTTTGGTCAGCGGCGCTCGGAGTACGAGGACTACCTCAACGCCACCAAAGAGAAGGAGCGGGAGGACAGTGACCCGCCCGGGGATGAGGCCAGGGAGCTGCATCGAAAGCCGTATCAGCCGGCCAACCAGCGGAAGCCGCAGCGCCAGTCGTACTACCAAACCGAGCAGCTGGTGATCGGCGTCCTGGCCTCCCTGGTGTTCCTCTTCATCACCCTCCACTACATAGCCGCCGCCCCCGTCTACAGCTTCTCGCAGACCAGGTGAGTGCGTCCACCCAGTGGTCCTGAGGACTAAACCCGGTTTCCCGCAGCACCCACAGCCTGCGCCGGATCAGCCAGACCCACCACGTTGCCTACTACATCAGTCCCTCGATTCTGTCCAAGTACACGGACCAGAAGCTGGCCAAGTTGGAGCGCGAAATCGAGGAGGTCTATATATCGGAGCTCAAGCAGAACTGCAAGCAGGAGCGAAGTCTGCGTGAGTTGTCCGGCGGTGGGGGGATGTCAGGGATGCATGTTTAATGGTTCCACCTTCTACCATTCCAGGGGACACCATGCTGCTGCGGGCCAGGCAGGGCAACAATGCGAAGCTGCGAGAGCATGCCATGCAGATGCAGACCCCGGCCTGTCATGCCCTGCTCCAGCTAGGCCTCATCGCTCCACGTCCGTTACTTTTAGAGAGTGGTGCCTCTGGGGAGGATCAGCGTCTCCAGCCAGCAGAGTTGGAGTAGACCAAGTCGAGTGATATTCTATTTCTAGTATTTCTATTTGTAATGTAATATAATGTTGAGTATGTTAAGTATGGAGGTGGTACCTAGGTGCTGCCCCCCACCCGGTCATGTCGTAACAATACCCATTATGTTGGTTTCTATTTTGGGAGCCAAACTCTCGCTTAACCCACATTCGTCAGGCACGGAATCATGGCCCGACATGGCCATAACAGGCCAGAGGCGGAACAGGGCCTGGCGCTGCTGCCAAAAATGCGAAAATAAAATGAAGCAATTGGCCCAGAAATTCGAGCGAATAAATGCCATGAACGGGAAGCTAACGAACTTGGATGAACTAGGTGGCTAGGTGGAGGGATGACTGCATGGAGGGATGGATGACTGGATGGCATACTCTGAATACCAACGAGTACCAGTTACCGAAACAGAGTCACGCAAAAGGATACTCCACTCGAAAAAAAAATGATACTAGCTTAAATATTAAATATTATAGTTTAAGTTAATTAAATAAATATAAAATATAATTAATAAAAAATAATTTAAGCCACTAACTAATCTTAAAACTAACCACTTATTGTTTAAAGTGCCGACTCCTCCCATTCCCGAGTGATGGAAGTGACGCTGCACCTGTCCAGCTGCCCCTGCTGTTGCCCCTACCCCTACCCCTTCCTCACCTGTCACTCCAATAGGCCTTGCCACCTGTCCAATTGCATTCAACCCGCTGTGGCAGCCAGAGCCATGCCACAAATGCAACAATTTCCCAGCTACCTGAATATGTGGATGCACTTTGTATTCCACTCGGATATGCCCTGCTCCTGGCTACCATTTGTAAGTGCAACTTGTCTGCCAGTTAGTTGCTTGCAACTGCAACACACTCCTCTGTGTCCTTTGTTCCCATTTCTATGCCACAACTGTGCAAGCTGCCGCCGTTCCCGATGATGATGATGATGTGGATGATGGCGGTTGGCCGCCCCTTTAAAGGATTCTTTCTACTTTTTTTCTCCTTTTTTTTTTATTCATTATTTATGCTCCACAAAGTTTGTTGAATTGCCAGGACCCGGCCCTGCCCCCCACTCCACACAGCCATTGCCGCCAACTGTCGCCAGTTGTCGAGTGGCAGAGTCTGGTCCTTGCCACGCGTTCCATGCCTCGGTTGCTATCGGCATGGTGTGTGCCTGGCGACATAAAGGACCGACTGACTGAAATAATAATATTGTGATAATGTTGGACCCAAAAAAAGAGGTCCTGGGCCTTGAGTTTAAACCAGAATTTGGGGGGAAAATCATGGAAATAAAATGGGGAACTTTAATGGTGGAACTTGGGGTCACCTCTGGGCCTTATTCGGTTATAAAGGTGCTGCCTAGACCACCTCCTAGATGGTCTTTAAAAATCTCGCTCATCAATAACCAGAAACTATCCCTATTGGGGGCATCCTTTTTTCCGGCCACCACACTTCTGAGATCCATCAGGGGCCATTTATTAAATCCAGATTGCTTTCCCATTTGGGATTCCCATCTTCTCACCCGCCCGTGGCAGGGACTTATGCAAATGGCCTGCCCACGCCTGGCTCTTTTTATAATCCAGGACATCTGCCTCGGGGGCCGAGAGGACCTTTAATGTGGCTCATTCTTGGAGGGTGTCTAGGCCCATTTTTGGGAGGTGTCTTGAAAAGGTTCGATGATTTGGGGGAAAAATTATTCCTAAAATGGGGAGGGACTTTCTCAATCAAGTCCTTTAACTGGGTCTAGGTCTTAAAGGTTCTGTTTCTTAGACTTTATAGGGTCTTAAGTAGCATCCAGCTTTATATGGATGAAGTGAGGCTTCAAAAGATGAAGAAGAGATGAAGGATGGGGCTATATAGATGAAATGAGGCTTCAAACTAAGCCACAATCTTATCAAGAAACTTAGTCACTACCACTACTAACTCTAGACGTAGTCACTTACTCTAGACAGACTCTAAATAAAGATTAATAATTATTTATGGAAAGTAGAAAAATTTATTAAAAAGTCAAGAATTTACGGCGATAGTAGACTATTGTTTCTGGACTATAATATACCCGGTACATCTCTATATCTCTACCATATACCTACATCTATATATGTATATGTACATCTATACATCTCTACCACCCACACTCATACCGAGTGCCATATGAGTATCTTATCATACTCATACTCATCTCTAATAACCTCTACCAACCTAATTTTAACTAACTTTTAAATAGTCCTGGTATTAAAATTAAAGCCTCTCACCATAAACAACCAAAACCTCCTATTCGTTGCATACTTTTGGGCTTTGTGAAACAATAACTGAAGGATTTCAGTAGGAAATCAGACTAAAAAGTCTACAACTCCTCTAAAATATATCCGATTTGGATGAATCTTGATTTTTGGGTGTATTTCAGCCATTAAAACAGTTTAGAATTAAAAAAAATTAAGGAACTGACGCTACAACGAGATTTCTGTTTTGGAGGCGGGCATAGGCGTGGCAAAATTTTACCACAAACTTAATAGGCTCGAATACCATAAAAGTCCCAGTTCCAAATCGGAAAGTTCTATCTCTTATAGTCTTCATTCTATAAGAGACTCTATAGACTTCACATTAAAGATCCAAGGAAATGGTATATATATGGGTATATCACCTCTAAAAATCGCCCGATTTGGATGAAATTTGTTTATAATATATATAGAACTTAAAGAAACAATTTCTCCTGAAACCCTTTTCAAAAAACCTACCAGAACTTGCTCCACAGAGTACCAAGTATAATAATATCTTCATCCTTCTCCCACTTCCCTTCCCCTAGCTGAGATCGACGAGCTGATCGAACAGCTTAAGACGACCACCGTCAGTACTGGGAACACCACAAACCTGCTCTGCGAAATCTCGGCCACCAAGGACCCCAAGCTCTTCGACAAGCACGAGCTGGCCGACTGCTTCCTGGGCCTCACCAGGTGCGAGGACACCAACGTGCGCAAGGAGGCGGCCAAGTGCATCGCCGAGATCACAAAATCGGAGGTGCAGCGGAAAAAGTTCACCAAGCGTGAGATCATAGCGGGCTTCCTGGAGTGCCTGAAGCAAGTGCCCACCCCGGATGGCAGCATGGAGCTGCCCATACAGATCTGCCGCGCGCTGGGCAACATCTGCTACCTGAACGACGAGGCCAGGGACCTCATTCTGGAGCTGGAGGGCGATGCTGTGCTGCTGAAGCTGCTGGACATTTCCACCATCGAGGACGAGGCCAATGCGGCGCAGTTCATCAAGGTGCGCGGAGGACTGCTCTCCAACTACCTCCTGGGCGGCGAGGGCCTGGCCAAGCGGGCCATGGAGCTGGGGGTGATGAAGAAGCTGCAGGCCATCATCGACACCGGAGCCTCCAATGTGGAGGTGCACGAAGACCTTCTGCTCAACACCCTCCCGCTGCTCAGCATCCTCACCGAGAACGTGGCGGACCTGAACTTTGAGTCTGCCCTCAACATCCAGCTGTCGCGCATCCTGGCCGCCTCAACCAACCCTGACCTGGCCGAGATGTGCCTGGAGCTGCTCCACTACCAGGCGGAGAGCGACGAGGTCAAGCTGCTGCTGGCCAAGGACGGTCTGTGCGAGACCATCTACAACCTGCTGGAAAAGTACAAGACGCTGGCCAGCACCAGCGAGGCCCGGGCCCTCATGAAGCTGGCCTGCGAGCTCATCGTCTTGATTCTCACGGGAGGTAAGGAGCTCCTCGGACTATATTCGATTGGTTCTTGTTATTAATACTCCCATTTTGTAGATGAATCGATGCACTATCTGTACACGACACCGCTTCTGAAGAACATGGTCGACTGGCTAGACTCGACGGACATCGATCTGCTGACCACCGGGGTACTGGCCCTGGGCAACTTTGCCCGCACCGACAGCCACTGCATTTACTTTGTGGAGCAACAGACCATGACCAAGCTGCTGGCGGTGCTGTCGAAGAACAACGGCGTCAAGGATGACGTGCGTCTGCAGCACGCTCTGCTGAGTGCGCTGCGCAACCTGGTCATTCCCAAGCCCAACAAGAACGCGGTGATCCAGGCGGGCCTGGTGCAGACCATCCTGCCCATGCTGGAGATCCACCAGCCGCCCGTCGTCTTCAAGCTGCTGGGGACTCTGCGCATGACCGTCGACGGCCAGGGTGAGTAGTAGCCGAAAATAGACCGCCTTTCCAGCCCTCCATTAACATCTGGATTCCACATTTTTTTTTTTTTGCAGAAAAACTAGCCCTGGAGCTGCTGAAGAACAAGACTCTGATCGAGCAGCTGGTGCACTGGAGCAAGTCGTCGGATTATGCGGGGGTCACTGGGGAGTCGCTGCGCCTGATGGCCTGGTTGATTAAGCACGCCTACCTCAGCAAGATCGCCTACGCCCTGCCCCGCAAGGGCGATGCTCCCGCCGAACAGATCGCCGACAAGATTCCCCTCACCCAGGACTACGACCGCTCCAGCCTGACCGAGTTCCTGGCCAACGAGGGCACCGTGGAGGCCATGGTCAGCATGCTCACGGCCCAGCACCTGGTGATGCAGAACGAAGCCCTGATCGCCCTGTGCATCCTGTCCGTGGTCTACCTCTCGCAGAAGAACGAGGCCGGCCAGGAGCAGGCACAGCGGCTGCAGGACGAGCTGATCAAGTGCGAGGTGGGCAAGAAGCTGGCCGAGCTGATCAGCAAGTCGTCCGACAGCATGACCAAGGAGATAGTCGAGAACCTGCAGAACTGCGTCAACTTGCTCAAGTCTTCCGAACAGCTGTTGACGCACCTGGAGGAGAACAACATCAACGAGCTGTTGAAGTCCATACCCATTCTCACCGAGTACTGCACCTTGTAAGCGGATGGGGAGGCGTGTAATTGCATTTAAACCAGCACCGAAGGATGCCTCACCTAGTTAGGGGCTCTTAGCTCTAGACCCACATGTAGTTTTCACCTTAGAGCAACGATTCAGATGTAGACTTGACTGTAGTTTGGTAAGATGATGATGCAGATGATCCACTCCAGAATCGCACCCCAACCTGAGAAAAGCGGAAAGTATTTTTTAGACGCAAGCGTATTTTGACTGCATTTAAGATGAATCGATGGAATATAAATCGTATAAATATTTATAATAACGCATAACTTATACGAATACGAATAATATTAACAATTTAGCATTAAAATCTTTTCTGTTAAATGATTTTTAAGAGCACAATAACAACAAATCGAGGTGATATCGCTAAATATATTTAATAAATGTATTTTATGTATTGTACTTATAATCTTTAATTGAAAACTTTTAACCCCCGTTGCTGGCACGATACCAAAAACGATACGAATACCGATTCTATAAAGCGCACAATGTAATTTAGGTATTTTAATTGGTGCACAAAAAAAACAAAAGAAATAAATTAAAAAACAGACACCATTCATTCGGAAAATTCTCAGATTGCATTTTTAAACAAAAAAATTAAAAACAAATCTGCAACTCCGTAACAATCAGTAATCCACAGTTGAAACTTGAACGAAAATATGCAATTTTACAAAGCGTAGTCTTAGAATATATTTCAAATTTTACCAATTATTAAAACACAATGTACTACAAATTGTTTTGGTCACAAAAACTGAAAGGAAAATAAGTAAAATATAGAAGAGCACAATATATGAAACGACTATTGTAAAGCGTTGAACACATACACATATATTTATAAATTCTAAACACGATCCTGTACATTTGATAATTCAAATAAAATTTGAAATGCATGAGAAAAAGAGAAAAGAGCGGTGGTATTCATTTTTAAACAACGCGCCCAAACCCAAGGGAAGTTATCGATAAACGGTGGTGTGGCCGGACTGGTATCGAAATCCATCTCGAAACTACGGCAACGCCGCGTCCTTAGAAATCCTGAAAAAACAACCTCATCACCCAGAAATGTAAGCAATATTTTTATTGGATCCCAGTTTACTGTGAAACGCTTCTAAATTCAACTTGTTAGGAGAAAATTCTCGGTTTATTTCCCCTGATTTTGGTGTCATTGGAATCGGAAACCCCCCTCCCTAGACCTGGTCATAGACGCTGCATTCCAATTTCACTGCGATTTCACTTTCACGATTTTGACGAAAAGGTAAATAAACACAAGTGGTTGTGGAGGGAACAGGTGCTGCAGGCGCAAGGCGTTGGGCAATAAACCTGCCTGCTAACGGACATGGCCACCTGTGAAGCGGACTCTAAGGCGGAGGCGCCCGTAGAGATAAGCCCCAAGTCGTATTCCCTTCCCTTACTAGAGAACCCCCACCGGGGACTCGCTCCTCCCACCGAGGATGGGGAGACGGTGGTCATTCGTGGCTGCTTCAGCTACTTCCATTACGGATGCGACGGGCAGCAGGACGTGGGCTGGGGCTGCGGCTATCGCACCCTGCAGTCAGCCATATCCTGGATAATTGGAAGGCGGGGCAGTAGTCAGGAGGCCCAATGGTTTGTGCCCTCGATTCGGGAGATCCAAGCCATCCTGGTTGCCATCGGGGACAAGGGCCAACGGTTCGAAGGTTCGCGTGACTGGATCGGCACCTTGGAGGAGTTCTACGTGATGGACGTTCTCTACCAGGTATCCTGTCGGATCTTACACGCGCGTCAGCTTGACTCTCAAGAGGTGCTTGATCAGATACGGAGCTACTTTAATGAGTACCAAGGCTTCATCGCCATGGGTGGCATCAACGGTGACTCGGCCTCAAAGGCCATAGTGGGCTGGCACCGGAGTGCAGCGGGAAACGTCTACCTACTGGTGGTGGTGAGTGATATACCCCTCTGTCTTTATGATATATTCATTAAATTCTTGTTTCTACATAGGATCCCCACTTTGCCGAGCCGCCCGCCTGCCAGCAGACACTCATCGACCGTGGCTACGTTCGCTGGATGCCCATAGAGGATTTTTCCGACAGCACTTACAACCTCTGCCTCATCCTGCAGCCCTAGACGTTGTAGCCTTTAATCTAGCAATAAAACCAGCTTGGCTCCCTACTTCCATATCGTGTCGCAGTTGCTTCATAGTTCGTTTCTCTTCCATTTTAGTTTCGCTGCCCAATGGACACTATCAATTCCTGACTAGGCCAATCGACTGATAACAGCTATCCCCCGGCGATGGACTGATAAGGCCGCGAATCGCGTCGAGCGGTTGAAGGCAGCCGGCAAATACTACAAACCAACTAAACTAAACAGCAACAAAAAGACAGAGTGAGCCATGGAGCTGCTCCACAGAACCCTTTTGGCGACCATCGGCGCACTATCTGTGTTCTACGCCCTGGTTAAGGTTAGCCTGGGCTACTGGAAGCGACGCGGGATTCTTCACGAGAAGCCCAAGTTTCTCTGGGGAAATATCAAGGGCGTGGTGCAGGGAAAACGACACGCCCAGGATGCCCTTCAAGAGATCTACTCCAACTACAAGGGCAGGGCGCCGTTTGTGGGCTTCTTTGCCTGCCTGAAGCCCTTCATTCTGGCGCTGGACTTGGAGCTGGTGCACAACATCCTCTTCACCGATGCCGGGCACTTTACCTCGCGAGGTCTCTACAGCAATTCTGATGGAGAGCCACTCTCCGGAAATCTACTGCAGATGGACGGCCACAAATGGCGTTCCTTGCATGCCAAGTCAGCTGAAGTGTTCACTCCGGCCAATATACAGAAGCTGCTTCCCCGGCTAGTGCAGATATCCGCCGGAATTCAAAAAGATCTCTCATCTGCGAAGCTCCAGCAGACCCACAACATAAGTCAGCTGGTGGCTGGCTACAACGTGAATGTACTGGCCTCCATGGCCTTCGGACTGGGAGACCGAGGGGTAGAAGAGTTCTCCCAGTGGGCACACAACTACTGGGGAAAGTTCAGCTTGTGGCGGGCTTACCTGGCTCTCGAGTTTCCCCTAATCGCCCGCCTCCTGCAGTACAAAAGCTATGCAGAAGCCGCCACCAGCTATTTCGAAAGGATAACATTGTCGCAGCTGAAGGAACAGCGAGGCAGGGACCGTCAACCCTTGCAGACCTTTTTGCACCTTTATTCCAACGCCTCTCAGCCTTTGAGTGATATCCAGATTGCAGCCCAGGCCTTTGGCTTCCTCGTGGCTGGCCTGACCCCTCTGAACGCCACATTGGGCTTCTGTCTCTACGAACTGGCCCGCCAACCGGAACTGCAGGATCGAGTTAGGGCGGAGATTAGAAAAACACTGCAGCAGCATGATTCCCAACTGTCCGGGGAGTGCCTCAGGGATTTGAAGTACTCGAAGCAAGTCCTCAATGGTGAGATAATGAAATATTTTAACAAAATGGCTCTTATCATCATCTAATCCTCCTTAGAAACGCTTCGCCTGCACACTCCATATCCCTTCTTGCTGCGCCGAGCCACCAAAGACTTTGAACTTCCCAAGTCCGTGTTTATCATAGCTCGGGGAAACAATGTGCTGATACCCACGGCGGCCATTCATCGGGATCCTGAGATATACCCGGAGCCTGAGCGATTCGATCCGGATCGTTTCGAGGAAGAGGCCATGAATTTGCGACCAAAGGCTGCATTTCTGCCCTTCGGAGATGGACTGCGGGGTTGCATTGCCAAGCGGTTCGTTGAGCAGGTTCTCCTTGTGGGCTTAGTGGCTCTTCTGCAGCACCACCGATACTCGCCCTGCGCAGAGACTACGATGCCGGTGGAGTACAACAACCGGATGCTTCTGCTGGCGCCCAAATCAGACATCAAGCTCAAGGTGGAGCGGGTGGATTAGCCTCGTTTTTCGTTTTTTATTGTAGTATTGTTTTTTGTACAAAACGTTTGTTTTTATATTTATATATTTATGCACTTTATGCTTTGGTTCCCTCAAACTGGACTTGTGTGATAATGCTGACGATGACTGTAATCTACTGCACCAAGAACAACAACATGAATAAATACACTAATTGTTAATTGCAAGGAAGAATTTTGAATTTTTCTGAAAGGAAAATGGGAGTCCTTTTTTTTTTGTTTTCCCAAAAATACCTGTTTTCCCCCTTCCGGTAGACACAGCTCTCCCATTTCATATCCGATCAGGGAATAGCGTACCATTTTGTGATCAGGGCTTAAAATACCTCAATTTCTCATTCAAAACATTGCCTAAATACCCTTTTTCAATTTTTCGAATTTTTCCAAGGGGTACCCCTGTAAAATGTTGTGCTTTTTAAAAATCCTCAGTTGACCCCTTCGGACAGCCATAGCTCTGCCATTTCATATCCGATCAGGGAATAGCGTACCATTTTGTGATCAGGGCTTTAATTACCATAATTTCTCATTCGAAACATTGCCTAAATATCGATTTTCAATTTTTCGAATTTTTCCAAGGGGTACCCCTGTAAAATGTTGCGTTTTTCAAAAATCCCCAGTTCACCCCTTCCGATGGCCATAGCTCTGCCATTTCATATCCGATCATGGAATAGCGTACCATTTTGTGATCAGGGCTTTAATTACCTTAATTTCTCATTCAAAACATTACCTAAATATCGTTTTTAAATTTTTCGAATTTTTGCAAGGGGTACCCCTGTAAAATGTTGTGTTTTTCAAAATTCCCCAGTTGACCCCTTCGGACAGCCATAACTCTGCCATTTTATATCCGATCATGGAATAGTGTACCATTTTGTGATCAGGGCTTCAATTACCTCAATTTCTCATTCCAAACATTGCTTAAATATCGATTTTATATTTTTCGAATTTTTGCAAGGGGTACCCCTGTAAAATGTTGTGTTTTTCAAAATTCCCCAGTTGACCCCTTCGGACAGCCATAACTCTGCCATTTTATATCCGATCATGGAATAGCGTACCATTTTGTGATCAGGCCTTTAATTACCTTAATTTCTCATTCAAAGTATTGCCTAAATATCGATTTTAAATTTTTCGATTTTTTCCAAGGTGTACCCCTGTAAAATGTTGTGTTTTTCAAAAATCCCCAGTTCACCCCTTCCGATAGCCATAGCTCTGCCATTTCATATCCGATCATGGAATAGCGTACCATTTTGTGATCAGGGCTTCAAGTACCGCCATTCCTTTTTCAAAAAATTGGTTAAGTACCGATTTTGTATTTTTTAAATTTTATTAAAACTTTATTTTAAATTACGATTATGAATCTAAAATTTAGATCAACTTAAGGATATTGCCAGATGCCCCAAAAAAGCAGGATGTTTCTACAAGTCTGGTGTTGCCAGAAGAATATCGATTTCTTAATCGAAATGTGGAATTAAGTTATTATATTTAGTTATTAATTTATTTAATATATTCTTACATTAATTAGTTGTACATGTATAAATATAAATATATAAATTTAAAAAAACGCGCGCGACTTTCTGCAGCCTTTTGTTGCAAAACGTCAAAAATTGGAATTACTGTTCGAAATTGCTCAACACTGGCACTCGTCAAACCACTCGTTCAAACACCGAATCGAATCCAAAAAATAGTTGGAGGCGCCCGGTTCGGACGGTTTTCGCGGAAGAACGACGACGATTTTGGAGCGGTTTAGTAGGTGCCGAGTGTGATATTTTGATATCAATTAAATCCAGAGAACGGCGACGAAAAACAATAAAGAGGCGACGTGCAGCGGGTGGGCGATATATTCCAGCTGGTGGGGCCACGAAGTAGAATCTATTGCGAGGCCACTGTGGAAAACAGACGCCGCGAATTGTGCGAAAAGCGATGAAAAGCCGTATGAAATGAAAACAACAATACGGAGCTTTTGTGCGGGTGAGAAGGCCTAATCAGGTTGGATAATATCCAAGTCGGGATAATGCTAGCCTGAACCGTTATATTCCCTGGAAAAATATCCCCCCTACCGCCCCCTCACGGTCGCTGTGTGTGTTTTTGTTTGAAAATCTCGAGTCGCGGAGAAGCAAAGAAAATAACAGTTGAACGACAGCTTCTAACTGTTTTCTGGCGAAGGAGAGTGCCAAAGAGTGCGCGAAAAAAAATTGGCAAAGTTGTGCGAAAAGCGAAAAAGCTAGTAATTTTATGCAATTTCCCAGTTTAAAGCGTCTGTCTCGGCCATACATCCTGTGTATGTGTATGTGTGTATGTTTTGTGAGTGTCTGTGAGTGTATAGAAAGAACAAACAACAACAACAACAACAACATCTAAGAGCTACAAGGATCTACACTGTCGCTCAGGGTGGTAGTTTGTTTGAATTTCAAACAAAGCCCAACATCAACACAGCCCACCAAAGAGGGAGAAAAGGGAGCAAGGACAGGGAGAGAGTACACCCCACACACACACACACACACATATATGCCCTCTCCTTTGTGTGCGCTTTTGCCGCCTGGAATGCAATGCTACAACAACAACAAGGCAGTGGGAAGCAGGGGAGAAAACGCTTAATCGGCAGCAGCATCCAAAAAAAATCAAACGAACGGCACTGAGGAGGAGGAATACCCAGCCTGCTGAGAAGCTGGGAAGTGCATCCGTGAGTATCCTTCAAGAGGACTTCTGAGACAAACAACAACAACAAGGGAGGGGGAGTGGGGTGGCAGTCGAGTGAGCTAATTAGTGCGGGCTGAGGGGTGCAGACATATCGAATGCAGTTCGGTCCAGCTTCCTTCCAGTCGAGACTCAAGGACTTCCAGTGTCAGTTCCAGTTCCAGTCAGCAGAAAAAAAAAACTCCTTTCACGGCCAACTCCATTTTGGTGGAGTTGCGCTCTAATTGCGCAAGTGCAGGGACTTCTCTTCCAGGGGAGGCGAGTCGAGGGATTACCTGGGGTGGCTCTGGGTGGCAGGAACCAGACCAGCACGTTTGTACTTCCATTGTCTTCTAGAGAAACCCGTACTCGTAACCGTTAAAATTTCCCTATTACCGCCTAGTGGCGATAAGCACGTTTCCGCGTCATCCTTTCACAACTACAGTAGAGCTTCCATAAGTGGTATAGTATTTATGAAATTAAATAATTAGTTTACTTTATTCGAGGTCTGTTTGTAGCTCTTATCATCACCCAGAGATAAGACCAATTATTTGAAATTTGACGCCTGGATTTTGTTTACGTTTCAAAGATTATTTTTTTCGCACATTTTTTTTTTGTTTAAAAAACAGACACAGAGCTCGAGTTCGCGCCATAATGCGATATGCCTGGAATGCCAACCGATGCAACCCAGCTAGACCAACCAACCAACCAGGGAATGAGGCTGACCAGGAGACCAGGCCTTGCCTTGGGATATCTGAGTAACCCAATCCGGCGCACCTGTTCCATTGCCAAAAAAAAAACAGAAGAACCCACCAGCTGGCGGGTAAAACTGCGTTTTTTTTTTTTAAGAAATGCAAATACTCTCCAGATATAAATAGTAATCCACCTTTGTGGAGAAAGGCCGGCCTGCCTGCCTGCCTGCCCAACAAGATAAACAGAAAACCGACTGCCAAATAAAAAGAAAATAAAACGATAGCTCGGCACGAAAGTAGCGGAAAGGCATTATTTGTATCTTTTATCTACTTTGTTTTACGATTTTTTCTTCGCAACTAGCCACTCATTACTAGCCTGGCTAGAAACAATAGTTTCTTGGCCAACCGTGTAATTTTTATGGCCAGTTCTATTAGTCTGTTCGAGGAGGGAAGGTATTTGGATCAAAGAAACAGTAGATCATAAATATTATATATAGAAATATATACAAGACTTTAGTCTCTATGAGGAAAAGGATGTTGAGTACCAGGTATTTATATGCATTTTCATAATTGGTGCTTTTTTCTTTAGGTTTTCTTTAAGAGAAAGAGTATTTTGACCAAATAAAGAATTGATTTTAAATAATATATAGAAAAGTATAAAGTATAGAAAAGTCTTTATAAGCAGAATTATGTCAAGTATCGGGAATTCATATATTTCTGTTCATAAATTGTTCTTATTTCTTAAGGATTTGGTTATATTTACTTAAATTATTGAAGAATTTTGATCAAATAAAGAATAAATCGTAAAATTAAAGTGTAGTCTTTATAGAAAAAAAGATGCTAAGTACTTGGTTTTTCTATTCTTGTCCATAAATGGCTCATATTTTTTGACGATTTGGTTCTATTTTCCTCAAGAGAAAGAGGTATTTCGACAAAACAAGCAACAAATGGTATAAAAATATAAGGAATAGTTTAGTCTTTATAGAAAACATGAAGCTAAGTACCGGATATACATATTATTCTTTATAAATGGCTCTTTTTTCTCTATGGTTTGGTTCTATTTCTTTTAAGGATAGGGTATTTTGACTAAATATACAATAAATAATACAAAAATATTCATAAAAGTTTGGTCTTCATAAAAAATTATGTCAAGTATTGGGTATTCATAATCCTGTTCAAAAATGGTGCATTTTCTTTTAGGATTTTGATATATTTCTTAGGAAAACCCTGAAAGGAAAACCCTGAAAGTGTATTATTATATCTCAACATACTTATACAACTTTAGTAAACAATATTCTTCATCATACCAATGTTCTAAGATATGTCTTTTTTATATCTCACCCTTTTGAATGACTTTCTTGACCAATATGGAGTATAAAATGTCTATAGAACATCATTACGAGTATTATTGTACATCATACTTCGTCATACATTAGTTTCAAGACCTATAACTTTAGTATTTTACACTTTTGAATGACTATCTTGATGAATATAGTCTATAAAACATATAAAAAATTGTCAGAACGTCTATAATCATACATCATACAATATCATACTTCATCATACCTTAGTTTCAAGACATCTAACTTGAATAATTTACAATTTTTAATAACATTCTTGGTCAAAATATTCTTTAGAACCACTATTCTCAATTGATAATCACAATGGGTCAGTACTTCCAACTATACTTTATTTAGAGTTGTATCTGAACGTGTAACATCATACTGCATCATACCTATGTTGTTTCAAGATATACAACTCATTTTTCAATGATTGCAACTTTTGAATGACTTTTTTGGCAAAAATATTCTCTCTAACAACTATTCCCGATAGATAAACAAAAGTCGTCTGGAATTACCTCAAACTATATACTATATATAGTGTATATATACCCTATAATATACCCCATTCTGCATTTCCGATTCAGACCAAGTGGCAGCTTGAATGACTTGCCTGCATTCGTGGCTGGAACTGCTGGCTGGCTGCCCACTCGCACTCGAGAGATTTTCATTTTCGTTTGATTTGTGAACTGCATGGGTGTATCCCCTGGTGAATGAATGAATTTATTTATTTACAAAAACACACACTATCACACACACTTTAAGACTCACACACCCTCAACTGGAAACTCCCACGCTTTTGTCGCAACCACTTTCGTTTTTTGTTGTTTGTTTTTTGTGACTTGTCCTATTTAAAAAATCGTGCCTAATCTAGGGCTGGGATTGCGTGCCAAAATAGCCAAATATATGTAGGACTAACTTCCTTGGTCTAAATGTCAGGAGTTGAGCCTCTAATGGACCTCCTCTACCCCACCATATGAGCTTTAATTAGTAAACCCAAGATGGGCGAGACCTGTTCTGGCCAAAATGCCATTTTCTTGTGAAAGCCCTCAGAAGAAGAACAGAAAAACCTGGACAACTTTATGGCCAGAAGAGAACAAGAACAGAATGGCCAAAGACATGATGGAGTATGGAAGTAACTAGTCTCGTTTAACGGCACTCTTCTTATAGCCAAGTTAGTTGCAAATTAGCCAGCCAGCCAGTCGAGTTACAAAATTAAATAACGAGCCGCGAGTGAAAAATAATTTAAATGCCAAAAAAATGTGTGAAAAACATGGTCTTTCCGGCTAAAGTGTGCTTTGTGTATCTCGGGATGTTATTTTTGGGTTTCGGTTACTCCCCCCTGCCCTGCCCTGCCCCATAAAGCCATAATTTCCAGTGGCCTGGCGGGGGCAGTGTTTACAGATTTGTAGGCCTTTTCGTTGCGAAATGTGTATGTTTGGTGTTCTAATCGAGTTATCTTTCAATCGATAATTATCGATTGCGAAAACACAACACGAGTATACTGCTAGCTCTGATTAGATAACGCTCGATGGCATATCTCTGCCTCAATTATCGATGAAATGGCCTAATTTACAGGCCTACGAAATCAATTGAATGGAAAGAGTGAGACTCTGCTTTTTTGCTATATTTTATTCATAGAAAATTTGGGTTAATGATGTGCCATGTGTGCGTGTGAGGAGGTGGAGATGGAGGAACCATAAACAGATGCCCTCACAAATCCCCTCTAGAAACATCAAATGGAAAATGCAACTCTAAAGATAGATACTCATAGATAAACATACTCATAGCGAGACGTTGTCTATTCGGTTCGAAAAAGAAAAGCTCAATCTTTGGATTATCATCGTTTTATGAGTTCTTTTGCTTTTCTTTTCATCGACGGGGCTTGATGGCTTTCCCGCAGACCCCCAGAGACCCCCAAAGACCCCCAGAGACCAAGGGCCAAGACATCTCGAGACTTTGCTGACCACAGATGTTGGGTCTCGGTCTGTTGGTGAAAGTGTAGTCATGGCCACATACATGTGTCTTCTATATCAACGACATTGGATAGCTGCTCCACCTCTTCCACAGACCGGGTTCTGGGTATACAAATCCCCCTCTATTCAAGGCAGCTGTAATATTATTTGTTTAGTTGAATCCCACCTAGAACCTGAAGAAACAAACCCAAGGCATGTAGACAGACTGGATCTTCAGAGTGTCTTCAGCAGTGATTTAGGAAGCATTCGATAATCCCCACGTCCAGGTCCAGGTCCACCCCAACCAACCTCATCTGCATCTACGCATAATTACACAACGGATGAGGGGATGGTGCGTGTGGACACATCTCTTGGCGGCAATTAAGTGCAACAACGATGTCTGTCGCCCTTGACAAGAGTGTCTGTCAGTCAGTCAGTCACTTCCTGTTATAGAAATCCGGGCGGCATCCAAAACAGTGGTGGTTCAGATATTAGCAACATCTTTTGAAAGACTAAGATCCTATTTATATGAATATGGGTGTAGCTTCCGCTCTGAGATATCTCTGAAGATATAGGCCTTGGGTCTTGGATCTCCCACTCAAGAAGAGCATCTAAATTGTTGCCTTCCTGGTTGGGATCTGAGAGCACGATTTGGTAATTTGGGACTCGTGGCTACTGCTCCGAAATATAACTTCCCCGATTCCGATCCCATCACGATTTGCAAGTCTGACCTCCCTCTGGATGCTCTGGATTTCCCAACCAGCCAGGCCAGGCCGGGCCGGGGGTTCATCTCTTGCTGGTCGAGGGGGGGATACCATTTCCGTTGGGGGGGTTAAGAAATGATGTGTAAACTGTGAATAGCTTGGTACTCTTGGAATACTGGCTCAACCAGTTGGGGGCTCTAGGCAGTAGGCTTATGATTTAAATGCAAGCCAGTTAAGTGGGTCAATGTTTTGCGTTCATAAGCATGTAAGAGAAAAAAAGACAAACCAGATTTAAAAGCAACTCTATTGCCAAAAACAACAAAGTCTTGTATTTCCGCAACGGAAAGGAAATTGCAACAATGTGGCAAGAGGCAAGAGACTGAGACTAAGACAGACTAGAGTCAGTTGCAGTTGCAAGAAAGCAGGCCTGTCATCGTTTGTTTTGTGGCAACAATTTTTATCTTCAGAGGTCATTTACACTTTTCAGCCAAGAAGAAGAAAGAGAGAGAGAGAGAGGGAGACAGAAAGTGTGTGAGAGAGAGAGAATGCGAACAAAGACGAAGATAGCTCTGAAGAGTATGTATGTAACATACAGTATGTACTTCTCAGAGCTCTCTAGGCTTTATTTCTAGAGGGGTTTGTGGATGTTATAGGTTTCTAAAGATACCCTGTACTTGGAGACATGATATATTAAGAAATTCTTAAAAATTTAAGATCATATTTTGGAAATAATTCCCATAGTATGGTCTATATAGGGTCTATGGATGTTACTTGTAGGTTTCTAAAGATACCCTGTACTTAAAGAAGGGAAATAATAGGAAATTTTGAAACCTTAAGATCATATTTTGGCACTGAATCCTATAAAATAGGTCTATATAGGTCTTTACATATTACTTGTGATCTGTTTCTTCCCAATACTTCCCGATGTTATAGATTCATTATGATACCCTGTTCTTAAGACAATAATTATTAGAAAATTCCTAAGCCTTAAGGTCATATTTTGGGACTAAATCCCGTATTATGGTCTCTATAAGTCTATAGATATTATTTATGAACTGTACCTCCTAGTAGACCTCTCTAGGGGTTATTTCTAATGTGTTTTGAAGATGGTATAGGTGCATAATGATACCCAGTACTTAAAAAAAATAATTATTAGTACTTTCTAAAATTTTAAGATTATATCTTAGCACTGAGTCCCATAGTACGGTCTATATAGGGTCTATAGGTCTTTGGGTATGATTTATGAGCTGTTACTTTCCTGTACTTCCTAATGGTACAGGTTTATTATGATACCCAGTACTTGAAGAGAAGAAATATTAGAAAATCCTTAGACACTAGATCATATTTTGGAAATAATTCCATAGTATTAGCAGTTATTACTTCCCAGTACCCCTCTATAGGCGTTATTTCTTTAAGTTTTATGGATATTATAGGTTTCTAAAGATACCCAGTACCCAGTACCATCCAGTATAGTCTCTATAGGTCTATGTATATGAACTAAACTGTTATTGGTTACTGGTTACATGCTTATGGACTCTTACTGGTAACCCCCAAGCCTTAAAGTCCCTATCATAGTCCACAATTTCTTTCCGTTTCTAGTTCTTTGATGGTCCCCCGTCTTTGGCAATCAGTGCTTCAACTCTGCGACTGTTTATCACTTGCAGCTCCCCCAGCCAGAGCCTCACTTGCAGCTCCCCCAGCCAGAGCCTCCTCTACTCTAGGGTGTCTCTCCTCCAGATGCCCAGACTTGTAAACTCCACTTGTGTATAATGTTTCTTCAAGAACTTATCTCAAAGCTGCCGCGTCAATGTCATAATCAGCCGAAAAAAGCCAGAGGAGTGTGAAGATAAGACCTCGGAGTAGATGCACTCGACTGGTGGCCATTAAACTTGAGACTCCAACCCAGTCTCCGTCTCCGTCTCCGGTCGAAGGTTATATGGTTTGTATGACGCCTCTTAGGCACTAATTGCTGCCAAGGCTCGCTTTCGAAAGTCACGTAGAGTCGTAGTCGTAGACAAATGGGTCAAAACTATGACACTTCCCCGATGAGAGTCGTTAGCATGGGCCTCAGGTCTTCGACTCTGGGTCTTCAAATGCAATAAATTGTGTATGCAACTTCCTGTCAGACATACATAACAATTATCAATTAATAATTAACAATTAGGCTCGCTGCAGGGCCAATAAATCACTATCACCAGGCCTACACTTGAAGTTCTAGCCAACTAGGTCAACGATCCCCAAATAGAGTCTGAAAAACATAACTCCCCCGCACTCTCTCTTTCTTGGGTGTTATTAATAATTATGCTTAATATCTTTATTATTTCTTATAGCTATAGTGGTTATAGTTCTCTAATCATATTTATTGCCTATTTCCAGATCTCCCCCTCCAATTTAAACAAGGAAATCTAGTATCACTTGCTTTTCCAATCAAAATGAACTGAAATTTGAAAGAAAATCGCCAACCGAATCACCAAAACGACTAACGAATTTTTTTAAACGAATTCTGAGCCAGTTACGAAAGCTATAGCCACCATGGATCTAAGTCTGGAGCGGGATAGCTCCGCTTTGGGGAGTCTCTTTCAACAGATCATCAATGACATGAAGGTAAGTGGATATTATTTCTTGAAAGATTCTCAGAATAGTTCGAGTAATACAGTGAATGAATGTGAAACCAAATACCATTATTTATCCAACTGCCTTAATTGCGAAAATCGTTTAAAAAAATAGCATTTTTCTGGGCAACTTTTTGTTGTTTTTATTTCTTTCATTAATTGATTTTATTAGCGACTCTATCAATAATTTATGGCACTCTCATGACGCCATTTTTTGCGATTATATAACACCAAGCAGAGCAATATCAGACAACGAGGTTTAATTAATGAAAGAAGCAAGGGACTGGGGATAGTATAGAGTATAAATACCCTTCCGACAGCTGTTTGGTTTATAAATACACTTTCTTTGTCTCTGAAAAAGGGCCTATAGACTCTTGTCTCTAAAACTCCATCATTGCTGGACAGACAGGTGTTGGCAGCTCCAGAAATAGACCGCTCCCGCTGTTCGGCGGTGCTTTTCATCTGAATTTTCCCGCCAGCTGGCTGCTATTTTTAGAAAAATCCATATTCACCTTTTCGGGCCATCCAGTCAGATGCGGGCGAGTGCATTTCGTATTTATGAAATTTGGAAATTGTTTCGGCACGCAATTGTGCAGAAGTTGGATGGATGCCTTCTCTGCCTTCCAACTCGGGTGTGAACTAGAGCATAAACCCATACACTCGTGTGCAATATGCGTTGCTGCTGGTGTGGTGTGGTGTGGCTTGGTATCACCTTACCAAGTGGTTCTCTGGTTTTGGCCTCATTCGAGTGGCAAGAGAGTTGCTGTTTCTTCTGGGTGCTGGGCCAGTGCTGGGCTGGCCTGACAAGGCAAATGCCAATGCAAATGTCACTAAAAGTAGCAGACCAGCTAGGAGGATGCAGTCTAAAGGTTAGTTAGTCTCTTAGGCTTAAAATAAGTACACTTTAATTGCATGGCTGACTCTCTCTCTGTCTATCTGTCTGGCTTTTTATATTTTTTGGCAGCAGACCAGAACCAGAACCGTCTTCTCCAATCAGCGTTAAATAGAAACCGTAGCCAAGAACATGCCTTCCCGGTAAGTCGGCTAATTCGGTATCGGTTTAAGCCACGCAAACAAAAAAAAAAAAACCAAAAAAATTATGCAAACATTAAAGGTTGTTAACTGCTTCGCTCTGTTGACTGCACTTTAATGGAGTGTGTGTGTGGCACATGTGGCAAGTGCGGCAAGTGTGCGAAATGGTAACGAAATCATCTTCCAAACCCAAAAGGAAAAACCCAGCAGATTGTCACATTTGAAAAGCGGAGATCTAAGCTCTCCTAAGCGACTGGAAAATGCATCGCAGTTGGTTTTCCACAAAAGTGAAAACTTTTCTGCTCCCTGAACCCAACTGAACCGAACGTGTCGCTTTCTTTGCTGCCTCGCTAAGCTGCCACTTTTGTGGCTTCCTCGTTGTGGCATTAATTTGTTTATGATGCCACTTGGAAGCCATTAACTTGAAAACATTTTCATTTTTTTTAGGTTAGTGTTTTAATATTTTTTGAATAAAAATATAGTTATATTGTTTAGATACTGGTCCTACTGGTGGCTGGTTTTCTTGCCCCGTGAGCCACATTTGCATTTTTCGGCCAAAAATGTTAGAAAAAGGCTGACCAGACCGTAGATGGTCATGAAGCTGGCTCCGAGAAAGAGGCCAATGGCGCCTCCAAATGACATTATTAGCTGATCGGTGCTGAAGACCACTCGCCGCTTCATGCCCATCTTGGGCAGGTCCATCTTGATGATGATGGTGCGTTCGAACTGCTCACCCACGTAGTTCTGGTCGCCCTGGAAAGAGTAAGGCCTTAACGACTACTTCCTGGGTTAATAGAGATTATAACTCACCCCGCTCTGCTCGTACTCCTCGATGATGCTGTAGGTGTTCTCCTTGCAGAGGGGGAAGCACTGACAGGGTTTGGCCAGCCAGTTGGACCGAGCCAGGCAGAGCATTCCGGAGATGTTGCAAATGGAATCCTTAGGGCCGGCGGCATAGAAGTAGGGCTTGCACTGGCAGAGGGTCAGGGCCCAGTCGATGCGGCACTCCAGGCGACACAGACTGGGATGATAGGGCTGTGAAGAAGGGGTAATATATTTTGGGACATATATATCTACTGTGAGCACTCACCCAGTAGTACTTGAGGTTGTTCTCGTCGTGGTAGCGACACTTTCGGTAGGCCACCGGCAAGTTCCGGACCTCCCCATCTGCCGAGATGGAGTTCACCAGCAACTTGAGGACATAGGAGCTCTTGGTCTTGGCATTGAAGGTCAGAGTGCGACTGTCGTGGGGCAGCATCATCTCGTTCACGTCATGCAAGTACTGATAGAGGGGATGGTTCTAATCAGATACCATCTAGGGATCTGGGGATACTCACCATGTAGACATGGGTGAAGATGCTATTGAAGGGCTTGTGCATGAACTGGCAGTCGTTGAAGAAACCGCATTCTCGCACGGGAGTTACATTGAGGTGGTTCCTAAATGGTGGGGATTCTAGATAAGGTCTACAAGGAGTGGAGTTCAGGTCTCGACCCACCCATAGGGATTCGCAAAGTGAAACAACTGGCTGGTGGTCTGGCACAAGCCCACCTCCGTGATGATCGGCGCCAGAAGGATGGGCCATGGTGGCGGCAGAACCTTCGACTGCAGCTTGAGGATCATGTCCACATAGTCCAAGTTGTCCAGGCTGGAGTCGTTTTCAAAGGGCGTCAGTGTGTCCAGGTTGGTGTACTCCAGACGGTTCAGGATGTAGAGGAACTTTTCGTAGTAGGCTGCCTTGGTGGGATCCTTCACCGGATCTATTCCCCAGATTCTACAAAAAAAAAAACGGAAGGAGTACTAGGTCACAGGGACTAGATGGTACAACCCACATTTTGATGAGCATATCGACCTGCTCCGCGTCCTCGTAGTTGGTGCAGAGGGTCAGTCCCAGAAAGGTAAAGTTTCGCAGCCCGGAGAGGTACTCGTACTCGTAGACGATGGGATTGTTGCGGAACCTCTGCCACTGGGCCAGGCAGGTGTCGATGGCGTAGTAGGCGGATGTGACCACCACCGCCAGCCAGAAGATGCGCTCGGACCAGTGCAGATCCTTGCGGGCCACATAGGGCATTCCGTGGATGGACGACTCCTGGCACACTTCCGCCTCCCAGTCGTGCGCTTCCTTCGTCTTCTTGCTGGGGGACTCCATGATGAACTGAAAGGATGATCCAACCAACCAAGCAACCAACCCGAGTAATGCCACCAGATATTCATGTTCGATAATTAACTTTAATGGGGTTTCGCTGTAAGGTCAGCATGCATATATAATTGTCGAAACTAGGACCTTTTGACGATGCCCCGGAACTCGGTGCAGGCGGTGACCGGTCGCTTCACGTTGTTCTTGTCGATGGCGTCTATGGTCAGGACCAGTTTGTAGCGACCGTCCAGGTTCGGGACATTCAGGCTGCCCTTCAGTACTGGCTCGAAAAGTTCGTGCTTCAATACGGCCTACCATTTTGGAGTATATTAGTGGAGAAACTATGTCAAGAAAGTCAAGAACTAGAACTCACTCCTTTGGTATTGAGGCACTGCTTCATGATCTCATCGGCATTGGTGATGTGCTTGGTCCAGAAATCGTACCAGTATTGGCCCTTTTCGAACATGCTGCGGCAAAAGTTCTTGCTGCTGGCCGAGAACATGGTCTTCTGCCAGGAGTTGTGCTCCCACTTGTAGATTTGTCCCAAGAACTAAAAGGACTAGGATCAGGAGACGAAACTGGGTCATAATTGAAGTATTACTCACTGCAAGGGTGTCTTCGGGCTGGACATCATCCCACACCACGGCCAGATCCCCCTCCATACTCAGCTTTCCATTAAACTTTCCCAGCTTGGCGTTGGTCATGTCGAACAGGCCGTCTCTGAAGTTGATGAGGTTTCCGGGCTGGGACTCGCAGGGCGCCAACAGGCCATCGTCGTCCATGATGAACATGTAGTTGAAGGCCTCGGTCAGGCAGGTTAGGCATCCCAGTACCAGCAGGATCTTCAGCGTGGGCCACATTTCGAGGGCTATGATGACCAGAAGATCCCCCAGAGCGTTATATATTCCACAAAGCTCCCCAATCTGGTCATCGGTGGCTGCCCAAACAAGCAAAGGGCGTTGGAAACAGCAATAATATATAATAATAGATCTATGATCTATTTGGAACACGTTCCGGCTGTGATAGGGATCGGATACGCCCACCTGCCCGGCTAGCTCAGTCGGTAGAGCATGAGACTCTTAATCTCAGGGTCGTGGGTTCGAGCCCCACGTTGGGCGGAGCATTTTTTTTATTTTGGTCGGCAATAACGGAAAATTAATTAATTTCTTAATTCAAGTCAGTAGGCTATTTCTATGCGACACTTAATTATTTAAAATTTCATAGTTTTAGGCCTTTGTGGAGCAGATAATGAAAGAAGCTTTTAAAAGTCGGTTAATGGAAAGTGTATTTCTTTGGACTCTTTAACCCTTAGGCAGTGACTGTGTATATTGAAAACGTATAGTATATTTTAATTGTTTAATATATGATATTATTATAATCGATCTTTTTAAAATCTCCCTCTATTTTGTGGAAACTTAGGCCTACTATTATACATATTTTTTATAAATAAATACATACCTATTCTTACCTTAGCATAAGTAGCATTATATCTATTTATAGAATATCATATCTATGAGGACCTCTTAACTTGGTTTGAGAACTTGGCTGGCCTAATTCCAACAGCCCGGCTAGCTCAGTCGGTAGAGCATGAGACTCTTAATCTCAGGGTCGTGGGTTCGAGCCCCACGTTGGGCGACTGATAACTTTTTTGGGAAATATTCTTTAAAAAAGTACTTTAAATATTTAATTTTATTAATTGTTTATTAATTGTTAATTTTTTCAATTATAAAAAATATATATTAAAAACAAAAAGAAGGCACTTTTCTTAGATATTCAGTAAAGAAACTGGATTTTCGTCTTTATGATTCTTTAACTATAAAGATTACAATTATATTTTTGATTTAATGGTTAATTAATCTATATGCTTAATTAATACATTTTAAAACTCTTCGGTATATTTCCCATAATTCTTAATTTAAAATAATAAAAAGGTCTTTTTTCTCAAAAGTTTCCTCACACTTGTGTTTACTTTTTCTATTTTTTTAATAAAATTCTATGCTGCTTCGTGCTTTTATTAGAAATTCTATGCTGCTCTGAGCTTTCGAGAGCCCCCCCTATAGCCCCCTCGAATCGTCTTGGGGGCCTCTCGGCTCGCCCCTTCTCATATGCCCGGCTAGCTCAGTCGGTAGAGCATGAGACTCTTAATCTCAGGGTCGTGGGTTCGAGCCCCACGTTGGGCGACTGATAACTTTTTTGGGAAATATTCTTTAAAAAAGTACTTTAAATATTTAATTTTATTAATTGTTTATTAATTGTTAATTTTTTCAATTATAAAAAATATATATTAAAAACAAAAAGAAGGCACTTTTCTTAGATATTCAGTAAAGAAACTGGATTTTCGTCTTTATGATTCTTTAACTATAAAGATTACAATTATATTTTTGATTTAATGGTTAATTAATCTATATGCTTAATTAATACATTTTAAAACTCTTCGGTATATTTCCCATAATTCTTAATTTAAAATAATAAAAAGGTCTTTTTTCTCAAAAGTTTCCTCACACTTGTGTTTACTTTTTCTATTTTTTTAATAAAATTCTATGCTGCTTCGTGCTTTTATTAGAAATTCTATGCTGCTCTGAGCTTTCGAGAGCCCCCCCTATAGCCCCCTCGAATCGTCTTGGGGGCCTCTCGGCTCCCCCCTTCTCATATGCCCGGCTAGCTCAGTCGGTAGAGCATGAGACTCTTAATCTCAGGGTCGTGGGTTCGAGCCCCACGTTGGGCGAACATAATTTTTTGTTCTTATTGTTTTATTTTTGCATTTCAATTAATATTTTGCTTAATGTACAATGCTTTATTTTTTTGTGAGTAATTGTTGTCTGCGAACTTTGCTCTCAAGCGGTCTACACGCGTGCCTGGTTAGTGTCTGTTGTGCGGGTAGGTAGGTAGGGCTCTGTTTGTAGATACATAGATATATCTATGTATTTATAGCTGATTCTGTGAATGGTCCAATACAACAGACAACCGACAAGAGCTAATGAGTTTTTATTTATGGCAGCATTCGCAGCTGACGCAATGTGTTGCCATTTCTATGACAATATCTCATGTACGGGCCTTCCTCTCCCTCCCCTTTCAAGGTTGTAGTTATACAGGATGTGGATGCAGCAATGAGTCCTATCTGGTGCAAGGTCCTTCTCAGGCCTACCTCCTCCCCCAAGCCCATGGCTAGAGATCTAAAGAGTAAGAGAATAAATATCAGAAACAACTCTCATCATCATCTTAGTTGATTTTAATTACTTGGCATTATTTTAATGGCTTTGTGGAGGAATAGCTCGTTGATGCTTATGGCTCTGCTGCTCTGGAATCACTGATGTGGATGTGGTCCCCACTCTGGGGGCTAATAACTCAGTTTTGTCACATTTGACATGCAGGGATTCCAACCGCGCCTGCACGTTGAATTTCTGTTCAACAACCGACAATTAACTTTAATGAATATGAAATCGCATTGGCGATACAACCGCCGAGATATTGTCGCGATATAGTCGCGTCATGTGTCGCGTTGTCTCGCCCAATTATGCAAAATAGTTATAGAGTTATTCCCTATTTTCATCAATGTCAGATGAATGTTACTTTTAAAAGAAACAATCTACATAGGGAGGTAGTATCCCTACCATTATCCACCACCCCGTAATATGGTAGCCGTAACATGTCGATTGTGTAATAACTCCTGGATCTATTACCTTGTTGCATGTGGCTTGTCGATATAATCTGGGATTAGTGACTTAATGATGATCCATAATTGGGGGTTTCCGATGCTGGAAGCCCTATATAAGCTCGGCTTAGTAAATTAATCGCTAATAGCTAAAAAAAATGCTAAAAGTTCACTTGATTCTCATCGTAAACCTGGCCGGGATTTGGGCCGCCGACTACGAAATGCTTCTCGAGGATCCGGATATCTTTTCACCCTGCACCGAGCCCCCACCCGGTTCGGCGGGCATCCGGGGGCTCTTGAACATGGATGACCTGGTGAAGAGCCAGGAAGATGAAACGATTCACGTCTCCGAGAATGCATCCACCACTTGGGAGCTGCAACCCACCGATCGAATTTCTGTAAATCCACTCCAAGTATTCCTCCAAAAAAATGGGATTTCATTGGTCAGTTCTTTCAGGCAAGGTTCGCCATGATGCACTTCAACCGGGGCACCTGGGAGCCCACTGTCTTCAGCGTGGCCACTCCGGACTTTTGCTCGGTGATGTTCGATGAGGATCAGTACTGGTACAAGTACTGGACCAAGAACATCCTGAACCGCGATGAGGTGGAGGAGAAGTGCCTAAGGACACCTGGTGTGAGTTGAACAAGGACACTACCTGCTTCTCGAACTCTCGACTCTTATATTTTAGACCATTCTGGCTCACAAACCCTTCGATGTGGTACTACGGATGATGAATATCCGGGGAGCTACCTTGAACGGACGCTACAAGGCGGTGGTCACTTTCGAGGCTTTTGACGAGAAGAACGCCCCGCGACCCAACACCATTTGCTTTGAAGTCAGGGGCGAGGTGGAAAAGTTAAAGAAATGAAGTCTCTAAGATCAAGGATGTGATCTTTTTAATAAAAATGTGGCTTTAAAAAGAGGTTTTAATTTATAGAAGTATTGGAATTGGAAGTATATAGAGTGGGTCCTTCAAAAGATATATTTTAATTAAGGTTTTGGTGGTTCAATCTGGACCCGGATAGGCATCATAGAGCATATTCCCTTCAGTATCTTTTTCAAAACCCGGAAGCTGGTAATCTTCTCGATGGGTTGTCTTCTTTATCGGCTAGTCAAGATCTTCAAAAAAAGATATAATCTAATATTTGTTGATCGAAAAGATAAGCAAAAAACACAGGAACTGCATGTTTCGGATCTCGATGACACCTTATGATGGGACTAATCCCAATGTTGTCCCAACGATAATCAGTAACTACAAGCGGAACCGGCCATATAAGAGCGTGTCCAGTTTAATACTGAACCACAATAATGATGGGAATCTCGTGGCTGGTGATTATCGTGGGTGTGACCTGCTGCCGGGCCTCGGACTACGAGCTGCTGCTCGAGGATCCGGACATATTCTCGCCCTGCACCGATGGACCACCCGGTTCGATTGGGGTGCCCGAGGCCTTCGACCTGAGCCAGCTGGAGATCGAACATAATGGTGATACGCTTCATGTGACTGGCAATGTGACCCTCACCTGGGATGTTAATCCCAAGGATCGGATAACCGTAAACTTGATAACTTCATAGCCTAGTGGGGTATACTTCCATATCGATGTCTCGAATCCTTGCAGGGGAAAGTGGAGGTCTTTCACTTCAATCGCGGCAACTGGGAGCCGACTGTCTTCACCATGAGCACCCAGGACTTTTGTTCCATTATGTACGACCGGAATCAGTATTGGTACAAGATGTGGACTGGCTATATAACAAATCGGGCCGATGTTGAAAAGAAGTGCATTAATACCCCGGGTGTAAGTGATGGGGTCTCCACCTAGTCTATATCTATATCTCTGCCTGAATTTCAGACCGTTCTGGTTCATGAGCCCTTCGATATGGAGCTGAAAGCTAAAGATATTCGAGGGCCTACTATCCGAGGTCGTCACAAGTTGGTTGTAAAGCTCCTGGCTATCGATGAGAGGCAACATCCCCGTCCAACTACCGTTTGTTTCGAGATCAGAGGGGAGTTCACAAAAATGAAATAGTGGGTTGTGATCCTCCAACTACTCTAATGGCTGAATAAAAAGGATATGCTCTGTGAACTCGAATTCGTTTTGTTTTGCGGTTTGTGGCACGCTTTGTCTGCAACTTGAGTTCATGTTGCGGTTGCCATGTTGCAACTACAAAGCTACTTCTTGGGTTACAAACATGGGGAGGGAATGAGAAAGAGGGGCAACTCATATTCTGGCCAGAGTTTTGGGGTCACGACATCGTCAGAAATAGGTAACTATCGGTTATTGAATTACTTGACGATGATTGCCACAAGTTGCGATCTTTTCAAATCGATTCCATCGATTGCCAATTTCCCAATCTTGTTGGGTTTCTGGAAACTTTCAAAAGCATCGTGAAGAGCGGGCGGGAACACTTTCATTTCATATTCCTGCCAAATAATTTTCTACTTTCTAAAAAAAAAAAAGCCAAGAAACAAAAACGGTTTTTAGGTGCAAATTAGTGGCGCACGATTCCCCAGCCACCAAGCCATACAGCCACCCAGCTACCCCGCCGGCAGATCCGTCAAAGTCAACATCTCTGGCCAATACCGAAAATGATGCCCCCGGGCATCTCTCATAGAAAATCAATCAGACCAGTGCCGACCAGTAGGCAGAGTCTTCCTCGCAGAGTCGAGTCATTTTTGCATAAGGAACGGTGATGCAGTTTCCCAGATTTTTCTGGACCCCAAAACAGCGCAATGTAGGACGTGGCTCTGAACCCGTTTCTTAGCCAACTCCGACTCCGCCTCTTTCTAGCTGCCGCTGAGGGAATCTTTGGAGAGACTTGCAACAAAACTGTTGCATGAATGGGGCTGTGAACCAGCTGGAGCTCTGGCTCAGTCGTGTGGGCTGATTTTGTAGGCTATTGGAAAGATCAAGAGTTTATAATGTCAGTGTGTATAGCTGTGTGTGTGTGAACCTTTCCAGTTTTTTCTTTCCGAGAGCTCTGACTGGCATAAATTGTGGGCTTTAAGGTGTCTAGCTCTTACGAGTTAGTTAGCCAAGAAGCTACATAGTCACTGGAAAGTGTTTGGAGCTCATCTCGTAGAAGGTTTACTTTAATTGGCCTGCACTGCTGACTTGGCCCGCCATTCATGAGGCAACTACTACCCGGAGGTTTAGACCAGCTGAGCTATCTACCAAAACGCCAACGTAGGCCTGGTCTGGTCAATGTAATGACAGCTTTGCGTGTTTTGGAGCTGGCTGGCTGGCTGACTGGCATGGTGGCCACCAAAATGTTCATTCACAAAATGCCGCCAAGCCGCCACACAGCCCACGCAGTCGTTGGAAAAGAGGCTTATCAACTTTTTTGGTTGCCACAACACATAACACCAAAAAAATAACAAAAAACCTATAGCTTTTGCAAGAAATAAATAATAATTATTTGCATGTGGGATGCGAACGTGTTCCAATCGGTTTAAATATTTACGAAAATAGTAATTTTATGCTGGAGAGAATTATTTGTAATATCAGGCGATTGGTTCTCCCCCTCCAATTGAAAGCCAAACTGCAAAGCCAGCAGAAAATGCCTCCAAAAATCGATTTCCGTTCAATTATTATTTGGCTTTGTTGGTCTGTTTCTGTTCACTTGCCATTTTTTTGTTTGGTTCGTTTACCTTTTGGCCCTCTAAGTGCATTTATTGGCCCGTTCGGAGGCCCGTTTATGCAACTGCCCTGGCCCAGACCTGGCATTCGAATCGATTTCCCTGCCTCGAAAGTGAGAACTGAAGAGTATCTACCATGTTGGAATATATATCCGCTACTAAAATATAATACTTTATATCTTAATAAAGTGAGTCTTTCAATGTCATTTGTTGTGTAATTGTGGCAGTAACTCGTTTTCACTTTTATTGAACATTTGCGCTTCTTTACTTGCGATATTATTATTTCTTGTTTATATAGATACATAAAATGTCTAGCTGCCTTTTATGGAAGCCGCTCTCAGCCCGAGTCTTGGCCAGAAGCCAGTTGGCCGGCCACGATTTGGCTCGGAAGCTTAATTAGAAACAAGCCCGAGGGGAGTCCAACCATCCAACCATATGGATAAAATCAGTCACGCCCTTCTGCCTTTATAATATGAGTATTATCTGACTTTTAATGAAATTTGCAGACAACAAAAGTTGAATTCAATTGAATTAAATCAGTTTAAGCTGTGAACTTTTACCAGAAAGAGTAATGGCATTTAAATAAAGGTTAAAGCCTTTGTTTATATACTACTCTATCCAATCTAATATTGATTTATATAAGATTACATTTCAAGCTAAAGTAACCCAATTCCCCATCTAATTTATTCCTAAATTTTCTTATTTTTTCTTCCAGAACACCTCACCATTGTGGGAGGATTTTGTGGCCAAGGCGGGTAAACTCCATACATGCCTGAGGTAAGTTTATTATTGATGAGGTGCGGATTTCTCCATTGGGGGAAGGAAGGGAGAGGCCTTTCAACAGCAATACTGGAACAACAATCGCAATTGCAAAACCCCAGAATGAATAAACAAACTTGTAGTTTACCTAAAAGTCGATTTTTAATGCTTTCCACTTCCCTCGCACACATGCATAATGTTTCAGTGATTATTTCTGTGTCGAGACCACCGACGCTGTGTTTATTTTATTTTCGCTCTCTGTTATTTTTATGCTCAGACTTGGCCCAAATTTACTTTCCTACGACGGCAACGTCTGGCCAGAAGTTTATAGCTCTCATACAGCACATACATATATGTAGCTGCATTAATCATTATCCCAAATCATGTTGTCCGAGTCTCTCTAGATGACTGAGTTTGCGAAAAAAAGCGTTCCGAGTGTGTTTGGCCACTGCGCTTGACACACTTCTTGGCCGGCAGGTCCCCCCCGGGTGTGGACTTTCATAAAACACTTGAGTGCTCCAAGACCTACAGTGGGTTACCCGAAGGTTGTACCTGGGTCCAATTATGAGAATTGGGGAAGATATAGCCATCACAGTGCGCCCTACAGGGGAAATCAGCATTTTTAAGGGACCCCATCAGAAAAATGGACAAAAAATCTGAAAAATATTTTGTCTCGGGATTTTGATGCAGAATGGTGGAGAATCGATACAGAAATCGTTTAAGGTACTCCGCTTGAGAATCGGATGAGAATTGGGGAAGATAGAGCCATCACAGTGGACCCTATAGGGGAAAACAGCACTTTCAAGGGATCCCATCAGACAAATGGACAAAAAATGTGAAAAATATTTTGTCTCGGGATTTTGATGCAGAATGGAAGAGAATCGGTCCAGAAATCGTTTAAGGTACTCCGCTTGAGAATCGGATGAGAATTGGGGAAGATAGAGCCATCACAGTGGAATCTATAGGGAAAATCCCATTTTTAAGGAGGTTTAATATATCTTCTATCAAAAATTTCAACATTTCTTCTAAGAAAGCTATGCCTTTACATCTTTCTCCTCTGCCCTGGAGGCACTGCCTTTCATAATTTCCTCCTCTCCTGCCCTGGACTGCCTTTCTTCTCTAGCTGTCGCCTAATTGAAATGTCGCCCACCGCAAATTGAAAAAGATCTTTATTAAATCTAGACGGCTTCTTGGAAGCATAATAATAATATTAATACTATGTATGTTTCTTTTTTTTGTATTTCCGCAGGGCCGCCATCCAGGCAATCGCCGCCTATTTGGATGCCTTCCAAAAGATAGCAGATGCGGCGACCAATTCAAGAGGTAAGTTCTGCCTGTGGAGACATTGTCGGGGTATTTGCACCACGTGGGCTTCCCCCACAGCCCATACACACGGTTGGTTGTCTATCTATTCTGGGCTGTGTGTGTGTGTTTTCATTATTCATGCGTCCGCTCACACTCGCCGGCGGTCATCGATCTGATTTTTTTGTTCAACACAGTTGGGTTGTTGTTGGGCTGATCTTCCTCGGAGCTCACGCATTTCGCTGCTTTTGCTATTTTTATTTATTTATTGGCTGCGATGCGACGCACTCGTCAAGTACCCGCCTGGTTATGCAATTCTCGGGACGGGAAATACAAAAAAAAAATAAACTAGAAAGCTTGATAAAAATCAGAATGCTGGGGGGGACTTTGAACAGCAAGCTCAGCTAGCTAGAAAAGGGGTTATGCTCATCAGCTATAAAGATTTAATAAAAAACCTAAATTATAAACCTAATCAGAACTGCCAGTCTGGGTAATTTTTTCAATAAACTAGAGACCTGGTGGATGGGCTAAGCTCTGGCATTAGCATATATTGATCCTCTTTGGGCCATGTGCACTCCCCTCTTGGCCAGTGTCCGTGCTAAGTGCATATGCTCGTAACTTAGCCACCCTTTTGGGCAAAGTACTTCCAAATGGTTTCATTAGTTTAGTGGTTACTTGGTCTAGAGCTGGCTCGGTCAAGCATCGGCACAAGTGTCAATTGTCCTTTTGCCCATCGAGGGGTGAAACTTGCTACTAGGTGGTGGTGGGTTTTAGGTACTTGGGTGGGATTTGGAGCAAGTGGCTCTTAAGAAGGGGCCGGCCATGCTTTGGCAGATAATTACACATTAAATGAGGATGCCAGCAGTCAGGGTGTCTGAGTTTCCGACTCTGGAGGCAGTCGGAGCTAATCGGGCCGCCTGTCATTTGCCTTCAGTGTTCTGGCTGGCAGGAGCAGGGGGGGTAGGGGGCATGAACTGCCTCTGCCAGTAGCAGTTAGTCTGACTAGTTTGCCCGGACTAACCGTCTTTGAGTCTGACTGTGTGGCATGGCATAATGGGCACACACGGGACCATAGAATTGAGGCTAGAGTCCCGAATCGTGTGGCATGTGGCATGCAATCCCAAACCAATCCCCATCCCAACCTGAATCGAAGCGACAGCCCATGGCGTGTGATTGTAGTTGCATGCTCTAAACATTTCCGCTGCCAATCTCCCCTGGAAGTTATTTTATTTAAAAAATGCAAATATCCCTATAAATGTTTAAAATAAAACATACTCCTTTTCCTGTTTTAAAGTAAGATGACTAACTCCCTTCTCTTTTTGAAACAGGCGCTTCAAAGGAGATCGGCACCGCCCTGACCCGAGTCTGCCTGCGCCACAAGGCGGTGGAGACGCGCCTAAAGACCTTCACCACGGCCATCATGGATTGCCTGGTGCAGCCGCTGCAGGAGAGGATCGAGGACTGGAAGCGGACAGTGGCCACCATCGACAAGGACCATGCCAAAGAGTACAAGCGGTGCCGGAGCGAGCTGAAGAAGCGCTCCAGCGACACGCTGCGCCTCCAGAAGAAGGCCAGGAAGGGCCAGACGGACGGCCTCCAGTCCCTGATGGACTCGCACATGCAGGACGTTACACTCCGGCGGGCCGAGCTGGAGGAGGTGGAGAAGAAGTCCCTGAGGGCGGCCATGGTGGAGGAGAGGCTGCGATATTGCAGCTTCGTTCACATGCTCCAGCCGGTGGTGCACGAGGAGTGCGAGGTCATGTCCGAACTGGGTCACCTCCAGGTGAGTTTCAATGGAATCTCATCAAAGACTACAATCTAACCCTTTCCAAATTCGCAGGAGGCGATGCAGTCAATAGCTCTGGTCACCAAGGACCCCAGTGTCCTGCCCCAGGCCTCCGAGGAGCTCATCCACGATGCCAAGGCCAGCATTAACCTGTACCCCGAGTCCCCGGGTGGCGGTTCGGGCTCCCAGGGCGGTGGCTGCTCCAATTCGCTGGGTTCCCGTAAGAGCTCCGTCTGCTCCATCAGCAGCATCAACAGTAGCGGGTCCAGCAATTCGCCGGGCCACCACCACTATCCGCGTTCCCTGTCGCAGGTGCGTCACCCATCAGGGATTACCATGCGACCATTGTGGCGTCACTCATTTCCCGGTTTTCATCAAATGTTCTTTTGTGTTTCGTTTTCGTTTTTTTAGTTTGTAACGCCCGCCATTCGCTTGAAACCTGGTGAATCCAGTGATAGTGGCTTTTGCTCATCGCCAGCGCTAACAACACAGGTTTTCATTTATTTTCCTTCCGTTCGATTATCCAACACCCAGCCTCTGATTACTTCTTGTGCCTCGCTTGTGGTTAGTTCTCTGTACTGATAGTCCCTTCTCTGGTCATTCCACAGACATCGAATGCCACCAACCAGACGGCGAACGTGTCCACCTGGCCGCCGCACACCCAGGACGCTGTGGACAGCCTGCCGCCCACCGCCGACCGGCCGCACACCATTTCGACGGCCTACGAGAAGGGTCACCAGCGCCCGCCGCTGACCGTCTATACGTTCCAGAACCCGGAGACCATACCCGAGTCCACCACTGGCCTCAACAATGGACAGCCGCCAGCCAATGGACAGCCATCCTCGGGCCAGACCACTCCGGCTACCCAGAAGTCTCCGGCTGCCTCCCTCAGCCGGCCACCGCTGCCAGTTGTAAGTATGGTTCGGATAGGACTTCTTTGATGGTTCCATAGTCGGCCCGTAGTCGACTATTGCTTTCTTTCACACTCAACTAAGTTGTCTCTCTCGTTCCGTTGGTCCTGACCACCGCAACAGAAGCCAGCCCACGTGGTGAGTACGTCATGTCAGCGGCAGAGCCCCACTCGCGCTCATCTGCATGCGCCCCCCGCTAGCCCATTGACAACTAGGTGTTCCAAAAGTCGCTTCATTTCAAGTCCTTTCTAAGAAAGTCCTTGCTATGTAGACTAATGCCATTGTATCCTTGCAGCGCTGCTCGTCGTTGGAGCGCCCGCTATCGGCCCAGAGCAACCATCGCCAGGGAAGCGGAAGCAACCTGCTGCAACGGCAGTGCCCCTCACCGATTCCAGCTCATATCACGAAAGGTGAGTCCCAGCTTCTGACCACTCAGTGTCTTTGTGTGCACGCTTGTCCCACCGGCTAATCCCATCAGTCTTACTAATGATCGTGTTGTAACCATCTATCCCCACCGCCTACACGCATGTCACCGCTAACACCGTCCGCCACTCAGAGCTGTCCGCCGCGCATCATGCCCAGCAGCAGCAGCACCAACAGCTCCAGCAACAGCAGCAGCCACAGCCGACACCGCCCACCTACGTCAACATGTCCGAGTTGGCCAACATGGCGGCCATGAAACTGACCAACCACCAGAATCAGAACCAGAACCAGCAGCAGCCGCCTCCTTTGAAGCAACAGAGCTCCATCGACTCGATCAGCTCCCAGCATTCCAATGACTCCACCGGTTCGCATCAACTGCTCCAACAGCAGCAGCAGCACCAGCACATGCCACAGCAGCCAAACCATCACTCCGCCTCTGCCACAGCCACTCGCTCCCATTCCATATCCTCGACGGCCTCGTCGCTGCACTCGCATCCGTCCATTGACTCGACGGTAGCTTGCGGCTCCCTGGTGGGCCAGCACAACCACAGCACCAGCACCAACACGAACACGACCACCACCTCGCCGTCCAGTGGCTGCTCCACGCCCCAGAACCACTACTCGCCCTTGCTAACCAACTCCCCCACGTCCACTGCCGCAGGTACACCCAGTGGCAGCAGCATCGGCACGGGAGCCGGCCTGGGATTCGTCTATCAGGTCAGCTCCCCCACTCCGCCCTCCAGCGAGGTGCTGAAGATCACCGAGCAGGGTACCGGGTCTGGCCAGGCCTCTGTAAACACCGATGGGGAGGAGGAGACTGACGAGCGATCGCGGGCCTCCGTCCTGCAGAAGGCATCGATGTTTGAGAAGGCGGCAGCTGCGGCTGCCGTGTCGCCACCAGCTCCGGCACCAGTCGCCGCACCAACAGCATCAGTTGTTGGCCCGGCCGGAGGACGTCGCTCCGAGGCGGAGCAGCAGGAAATGGGTAAGTGATAGAAACGATCCTCGGATCAGGATCCTCGAGGATCCTTGCACCGACTCAGCACTTCAGAGCACCTCGAAAAGATACGAGTTTCCAGAACCTCGCCTCCTGTTTCCTGGCATTCTGTTTTACGTATTAAACCCACACTTGTTTTTTGATTTTTTAGTTTTTAATTTAAAAAACAAATATTTTAGACAATATTTTAACCCCAAAATCTCTTTTTTGTTTTCTCCCGCCCTCTTCTCTCCCATGTATTCCTTGTTGGCTTTGTTGGGTTTCGCGTCCAACATCCAACCATGCACCGAATATCTCTTTTGGTTTTGACTCCATGATCACCCTACCAATATCTCTGTCATCTGTAAACTATCCACAATGAAACGCACCACAAACAACACCATCTCCAATATGAATACCAACAACAAACACCACCAACCACCAACCACCAATGATCCTAACAGACAAGTCTTTCGAAGATTCAATCCAAGCACTAAATAATTTAATTGGCGAACTAGACTCGTTCCAACGCGAGATCGATGAGGGCAAGGGCAAGCAGATGATGATGATGACCAGCAACAACAATATGTCCACCATGACGACGACGAGCAGTTCCAGCAGCAGCACCGACAACAACAACACCCCCGCCGGCAACACCAGCACCATCGAGCCGTGTGCCATCAGCAATCAGACGCACTCGAGCGGCTGCGGCACGGACATCTCGGACACCACCTCCGACGAGCTGGGCGGCGACGAGAGTGCGGAGGCGCGGCGACGGGACAGGGATCGTGACCGGGACCGGGACCTGCTGGGAGCCAGCGATTCGGAGCTGAGTCGTTGCTATGTGAGCGAGACGAGTTCGCTGACCGGCGGGATGACGGCCGGCGGCTACGAGAATCCCACGTTTGCGCACTTTGTGGCGGCCAGTGCCGGTCGAGAGGAGGCAGGTCCGGGCGACAGTGTCTCCCTGGCGTCGGACAGCCTGTGCCTGGGGCAGACGCGCCACGCCTACGTGGACACCTGCAGCGACAACGGCAGTGGTGTGGTGGTCATCTACGACCACCAGATTCCCATTACGCCGGACATCGAGTTTGTGAAGCAGAACTCGGAGATAGTGCTGCTGCGCACCAAGGATCCCCAGCCGCAGGCGCTGCAGCTGCACGAGATGCGCGAGTTGCAGCAGCTGCCGACGAACCTGGCTGGGACGCCGGACTCCTCGCCGGACGGTCAGGCGCCGCCGCAGCCGTCCACAGCAACCGTGGCGCCCGCCAAGCAGCGACTCTCCTCCTTCCGCGCCACCAGCGAGCAGCAGCTGCAGCTCCTTGGACGCGGCAGCCCCCAAAGAGGTAAAACAGCCACCACTGAGCAGGCACAGGACCAGCACCCACCACCACCACCACCCCAGCAGCAGCCAGTAGATCCTGTCAAGCGCCAGCTGCCGCCCAAGCCGACCAGCCTGAGCCTTTTCAGTGGCCCAGCGCCCAGCCTGGCGCCTGGCGACAAGCCCCTGGTGCCTCGAAAGTCAGACTTTAAGGCCGACCTTGATGCCAAGATCCGCAGACAGAAGCAGAAAGTCCAACAGCAATTGCAGCAGCAATCGCCGCCTCAGCAGCAAGCTCCTTCCTCCGCCACACAACCGCAACAACAACAACACTCACCACCGCCACCACCACCACAACTACAGTCGCCCCCAAACCGAAACTGTAATGTCACTAATAAGCCAGCCGCCAATGTTACTGCATCCGCATCTGCATCTGGGTCGAAACTGAACCAAATTCATAGAAATCCAAGCCAAAATCAGACAGCTGCATCATCCAATCATCCAAATAAGCAATATAAGACGCCCCCCGCCGCCTGCCCGGCATACTCATCTTCATCGACATCGCTACCATCATTGCCATTATCAGTCAGCACCACCTCATCATCAGCCAACTCTCCGCCATCGATGTTGCCCGCCAGTGCCCGACCAGTCCATACGCCACCACATGTACACTCCAATGCCAATGCCAATGCCACTGCCAATGCCCCAGCCAATCCTCAAAGCCCGGCTAGTGCCCATGCCAATGTCAAGCCGTGCATTACGCCCAGGCCGGCTTCGTTGTCGGGTTCGTTTTACTTTTGAATCGATTTTTGATTTTTGATTTGTTTTTTTGGGTTCTTTCATTTGGTTTTTGGTTCGGATTCTGCTAGAATCCTCTGGAGAGCAGTCTCTTAAATGCTTTTTTCGTTGGCTTTGGTCTCCTAACTTGTAACGTTCCAGTGTTTTAACCTTGTTTGAGTTATTTGTTTGATCTGTTTTTTAATATATCCGCCCTACTGGAGTTGGTATCACCCCCTAATCTACACCAATCATACACCGCATTCATGAAACTACACCGCACGGTACAGCCACTAACTGCTAATTGCTTGAGCATCCAAATCTAAAGCTATAGTCGACTTGATCGGGGGTGGTCCTATTAACAGTCTAAGCCACCTCTGACCTGCTTCACCCCTCGCTTGGGTCTCCGACAGGGCAGATCCTGACCCTCAGCCTACTTCTCTAACTCTAGCTGGTATTCCATGGTGTCCTGTGTTTTGTGTGCCAAACGTATATATTGTAAAGATCTCTTGTATATACTTGTAATTAACAATGAAAACCAAACGATTCCTTGCCGAAAACTAACAATGTACTTGGATGTCCGCAGGAGGAGCAGGAGGTGGCGGTGGATCCACGCGCATCGCCCGCCGTTCGTCCATCAACCAGGCCAAGCCACCGCCGCCAGTCAGACGCAGCTCATCGGTGACCCCCAGTCCCAATGCCTCGGTTGGGGTAAGTTTTCTAGAATAGTACAATATTTTCCTTTAATTAAGTTAGCCAACTAAGGTAGCTGTTAAGAAAGCTCTCCACACCAGGACACACACGTACAGACTATGTGGTCTTTTGTTTGGTTTCTCTCTGCTTTTGTTTCTTCACTTATGATTTAATTATGCAACACAGCTGAAGCAACCGCAGCAGCCAGAGCACCTGCACCTGCACCACCACCATCAGCAGCTAAGCAGCTCCAGCGAGCACTTGCCACCGCCGCCAGCTTTCCTGCTGGACTCCATGCCGCAAAGCCCGCCACCAGCTGCCATGCCCAGCTCGGCGCTGAAGGTTTCAGAGACGGTGCGAGCCCTGGCGGCCCTGCGCCATCAGCCGGCCTCTCCGGTGGCTTTGAGACGCATGCAGCAGCAGCAGCAACATCAGCAACAACAGCAGCAGCAGCAACAACAGCCTTTCTTACAGGTGTGTGCACTAGCCACCACCGACTCTATTAGAACCTCCTTTCTATAACTTATGATTTATTTTCATTTTGCCTGCCTTTGCTTTGCGTTTATGCCACAAATCACCACTCACACAATCAAAAAAATCAATCAAACCTCACAAAGCCCATGCACCCATCCCCCTCGAACGACGATCTAAGCTACGAAGTCTACTACGACTCCTACCTGGATCTGCACGCCTATGCTCCCTCCCAGCAACAGCAGTATCACCAGCAGCAGCAGCAGCATCAGCAACACCTCATGTATCTGCAACAGCAACAGCAGGCACCACAGCCGCCTGTGTACCAAGCTCCGCCGCCCGTCGATGCCGTAAGTGACCACCAGAACTGCCCGGTGGCTACTAACCCAGACTAACAGCCGGATAACTGCCAGCGATTGAATGAATTTTTAAATAAAAATAAATTCCAAAAGAGGAGCCCTAATTAACTAATCCATCCAGTTTAGTTGTAGTGCCTTAGTCTATAGCTTAGTATAGCTTTATGCTTAGCTTTGCTCTGATTTTAATTTGAGCCTTGTGTTTTCTCTCGTCCTCTCCACTCATGCCACGCCACATCATCCACAACATCCTCCATCTGACGCACAGACGTTCCGCACCTCATCACCTGCCGCTGGCGGAGGAGGTGGCATTTACGCCCAGCCCAAGCTGGTCAACAGCATGTCCAGCTTCCGCACCAGTAGTCCCAGTCCCAACGGACACGCTCACCCACTGCCACCGACCCAGCCGAAGGCGAACCCGAATCTGATAGCACAGCTCAATGCACGACTCAACAGCAAGCAACAGCACCAGCCCCAGCACCAGCAACACGAGGGAATCTACGGCAACCAGCATCAGCAGCAGCAACAGCAACCTGGAGGCGATTCGATTTATATGCGAGGAGGTTTGTCCATGTCGCAAACGCCTCAGCAGCAACACTTTGACGGTAAATCTGAGCAGCAAATGCAACATCAACAGCATAGAATTTACGCTAGTTATGGCACCTCATCGTCACAAGTCGCCACATCAGTCTCAGCCTCAGTATCAGTATCAGTCACTGGCAACTCATCGGGCAGCAATGCCCAGCCGTCCATTCTAACACCGACCTCCTCCTCCTCGTTCAACGCCCTGCCCCACTTTCCCCTGTCCTCATCCACATCATCGTTGCTATCCAAAGTCAGTTCATTCTCAAACGCCTCATCCTCGCCGCCAACGGCCGGCGGGTCGGCCAACAATTCGCATTACCAGCCACCCCAGCCGCCCACAGCGTCATCGGGTGGCACAGATTACGGCTCGTACTCAAGTTCGTTTACCAAAAATTCAGCAGCTGCCCAAATGTCGAACATGCGACAAGTCCATCCCCACCAGCATCAGCCACAGCAGCAGCACTACACATGCCCGCCTCCGTTGGAGGATCCTCCGCCGCCGCCCATTTACTCCGCCGGCTCTTCGGCCACGATGCCCAAGAAGATGGCCCGCCCCCATGCCGGCCATGCGCCGCATGCGAGCGCCTATGCAGCTGCCTCGGCCACGGCCACGCTGCCCAAGAACATAATGCAACAGCAGCAACAGCAACGTCTGCTGCAGCAACAACAGGCGCAGCAGCAGCAGCATCAGCAGCAGCAATACCAACAGCCAACAGGCATGGGCAATGGGAATGGTCACGGGCATGTAAGTCACCGTCCGCAGTTGCCGCTGCCCCAGCAGAAGATGCGGGCTGCCCAGCAGCAGCAGCAACACTTGGCGGAGCAGCAACAGCAGCACCAGCCGCCCATTCCGTCGCGCCATTCAAGTGTCCAGCAAAAGATATTCGTTTCGACGAATCCATTTATACAAACAACGGCAGTCAAGTTTCACTCGCCATCCGCCTCGCCAATTTGCGGCTCACCGGGATCTGGATCTGGGTCCATGGCCAGCATTTATGCCACAACAGCACGAGGCAGTCACCAGCAACATCAGCAGCAGCAGCAGCAACAACAGCATTACTATCGCGATGCTGCTGGGGGCAATAGCAATGGCGGTGCTGGATACTACAACCACAATGCCCATGGGCATGCCCACGCCCACTCGAACGCCCATGCCCATGCCCATGCCAATGCCCATGCCCATGCCCAGGCACATCATGCAAGTAAGCGAGCGAGCTGGATCCGATACGATTCGACCTGATTTGATTTCGTTATAGTATGATTTCATATTTGATTTGATTTGGTTTGGTTTGGCCGTGAATGAGCGCTGTTTTGTATATATATATCTTTTGCTAAGATCGCCAAGAGGTTCTTAGCCAAGTTTATAGCGCATGCAGCTTTTGTTTTTGTTAATATATGGTTTCTGTTTAAGTTTTCGTTTGTTTGAGTTTGGAAAGTGTTGCCTATTAACCAGATGGATGGGGATTGTGATTGTGTCAAGTGCCTTGGGAGAAGCTCGGCTCAACAGGGGATTGTCGTCGACTTTCATTTCAACTTTTCCCAATCATCAATCATCAATCTAAGCCACAGCACTTTCGATTGAACCAGAACTTCAATCAACTTTTAGTTTGCATTTCAACTGACCACTCACGTCCCTTGCACTCTTCTCATTCATTGATCGATCGTATTTGCTTACGTTTTTCTTTTATGCACCTGCTCGCGGATAACGCATATCCACAGACTATGCCACAAGCACAAATATCGAAAAGACTGGCAGCATTCGGGCCAAGACCAAGGCCGAATTCCTCGAGAATCTCAACGCGAAACTGGCCAAGCAGGGAATGTCTGGACGAGCATTCGCCGTGCGCAATCTCATCAACAGCAAGGCCCTGGTGAGTAGCTCCCTAGCCCTTAACTAGTCACTCAACTAGATATCACACTCCGCTCTGTACGATCTGTGGTTGTTAGATGTACCAAAATCCGCAATCTTTATCGCGACCCAGTGCGCAGTATCGTAGACCACCCACCTATCCCAACACCAGCAATACCATCAACACCATCAACACCTGCGATGACGACCAGTGCTAAGGTATTTAGAGAGTTCTCCTCCTAGTTCTCGTTGTCGTTTATGTCGTTACGTTTGAAGCCTACTAAGCCTGCCAGCGGCAGCTAATCCACTGAAGCCAGAGCCTCGTTTTTTTGCCCATTAACTGCTATTTGATCTAACCTTTAGATATCCTTTACTCTAAACACGTTAGTAATTCCATCGTTTTCAATTCTTTCAGCCTGATCCGCGCATCTGTCACGAGTCGCTGATGGATCAAATAAAACGCGGAGCCACCTTGAAGCGAAACCAGAAGATCAACGATCGCAGCGCTCCAAAAATACATTAATCTAACCTATAGGTCTAAGCGATACAATATTATTTATTATCCTAGTAATTAAAATATACAATTAATCAAGAGGCCCCCTCGAAGTCTGCTCGATCGCAGGCCCCTAATTGAGTTTGGTTTGAAACTGACAACTCGTATCCATAACACGAAACCTAAATATATATATTATAACGGTAAACATATACGATATACGATATTTAACAAGCGCAGTATGCTTAACTCGAACTAATCAATACTGATTACCCTATTGATTTCTGATATCCCAAGAATATTATCGAAAGGCGTTTTCTGTAAGGAACCACATGTGGAAGACAGCTATCATTTAGTTGTGTTTAGTTGTAACTCTTACTCGAATTTACGTTTAGTGAACTTTTGTTTAAATATATATATATATATTATGTTTATGTATTTACCCTATTTATAATTTCGCTTTGTTTACGTACATGTATATATGAATATGAATATGATTTCAACAACCAATCGAAACTAATCTGACGCCTAATAAATGGAATTTATCGTAATTATTATTGAAATCTTTTTAATTTCCATTATTTTCTGTTTATTTTGCATTAACAGAGACGAGTCAATTGGGAAGGGTCTGATCAAACTTGCAATTATATACAATATCTATATAATCATACACAATTAGAGTTAACAAACCAGATAGAAATAGAAATACTCAACGTCCCGCTGTATCTTAACTATGTTTCTGTTTAGGAAACAGCACAATTGGATGCTTTTGACAAGAAACTCTTTAAATTACTGCCAAGCGGAACGGGGAGCAGTATACCTCCGATATCTTTCGCATCAACCTAGAGTGCTATATGAACATGTTCATATCATAACATTTCCATTGGACTGAATCTCTTTTACTGACATTTTAAATGCACACCCGAGTAGTAGACTAGGAGCCAGTTTCTCAGTGTAAGATACATACTACACTATACTACTATATCAGTTGCGTTCATATCAAATTAAAGCAAAAGCTAAATCAAAAGTTTTTAATCCAAAAACATACTCATTTGTTTCAACTTCAATCTTAAACCCCTAACCGAACTGCATACATTACTCTAGATACTAGATACTTTTTAAATATTTACAAAATATTTTGTATATACGCTTTTTAAGGCTTCACCAATGATCGATCAGTGAATATTGGCAAAAAAAAAAACTCATAACCAAAATCGTGGCAATAACTAAGCTATAACATTCTATTAGAGTTTAGACTAGACTCCAGAGAGCATATATACAAATTTGAGTCAGATGAGGGAAGGAAAGATATATTTTTTTGGACGATCCATTCTATACACGTACCCCACACCACGTACTCATACAAGTTAATAAGGTAGTAGGGTTATTCAACAATTATTTACAAATCTAAATGTTAATCGTAATGTGTGTTTCCGTGTATCTACTGCAAAAACGAATACCAAAACCGAACCGAAGAAGTAACCTAACAAATCAAAGCTGTAATGCGTATTTTTGAATTCATTTGCATTTAGACATGAGACACAATAATAAAATAAATGTAAACGCATTGAATGTAAATGCACAGCCGTTTTTTATTCTCCTCAGTTGTTCTTTTGTTTCGAAAAAAACAAGTCCACCGTGTTTTGGTAGAAGATTTCCGCCAGCTTCTCCTTGGGCTCCTGCTTCAGGCCAGCAATAGCTTCTAGAACTTGGCTGTAGGGAGATAAGTATACATATGTTATTCCACCTTCATCCATAAGTATTCCTCAGCTCACCTTATCTGACACGGTTCGCATCGACCGTCCACTAAGGACTCTGGTGTCCACTTCTCCTTTTTCTTGACGGTTGGAAACTTGGTGACCACATGCTTGTTGGCCGCGTGCGATGGACGTATCCCACACCAGGGACAGTCTGTTTCCAGCATGATACGATCATTTGGCAGCTGGCGAACCACTTCTGCGTTCTCCTCCGTCTTTAAAGAGCATCCATTGATCCCAATGTAGAGTCCTCCAAACGCCAAGATGCTCTGAGCCTCCTCCAGGGTCCCGGTGAAGCTGTGGACTACTCCCCCGCCACAGGCCTTGAGCTTTTCTCGATTCCGTTCCAGGATGGCCATGAAGTCCTCGGCTGCATTTCTCATATGTAGGAACAAAGGTAGCCCGAACTCCGCCGCCAGGTCCAGCTGCTTCTCGAAGTACTGGCGTTGGGTCTCTTGGCCGCAGAAGTGCAGTCGGTCGTAGTCCAGACCGCATTCTCCCACGGCTACAACCTTTTCCTTGTTGGCCTCAATCTTAGACCGGAGCTGGGCGTAGTAACCCTCCGGATCTGCAAGGAATTCATCGCAGCGCGTGGGATGTGTTCCTACAGTAGTGAAGAGGCGTTCTGCGATGGAAATAAAGAGTATTTTAGTAGAGGATCATTGCCCATCAATTATTCTCACCATCTTTTGAAGCCAACTCTAAGGACTCGTCCACGTCCTTCAGGCAACCGGCTGTGATGATTATTTTCTGCAATCCCTGTTGCCACGCGCGGTCCAAAACAATGTCCAGGTCGGCTTTGTGCTTTTGTGATCCGCCATAGCACCCCTGGAACATGGGATCCGTCAGGTTGGCTCCTATGTCTGTTAATGAGGACACCCATTACCGCAGATTGTCTTTTATTTTAAAATTTTAGTTACAAACCAATGTATTTCAAAGCCATTCCAAAATATCTTCTCAACTGCATATCTCAGAGATGCCATTCTAGCTTTTTTGGCTACCTATTTATTTTGTTAATTAAAATAAAAGTGAATAAATAATTCTTTGAGAGTTTGCATACTGAATAATGGTTTTATTTTTTTTAATTAAAGCAGAATATATCATTTATACAGAGTTTTTAGGAAAATAATTGAGTTCTTAAATACATCTGGCAGCACTGGCAGACGGCGGGCTCCTAAACAGCTGCTCTGCAGATTACTTTTACTCCGCTAGATGTCGCTACTTCCGGTAATGGAGTCCGTTAGAGGGTGCCATCTTTGTTTATTTCCGTTGCCATTTTAAATTGCAAATGGCGGTCGCGTTTTCCTTTAAGTCGATAAGCTCAGCATCCTGGCCACATAAACTGGGATTTTCCACTGGTTCCCAAAATAAATTGCATCACTTAAGCCAATTTAATGCAAAATCAATGCCACAGTAAATTGCATTCGGAATTGCGCATAATGCAAACTAATTAGGCCGCACCAGCAAAGCTGTTTATTGTTGGTACTGGATGCTAAATCGGCCTCTTTTGCCCAGAACCCCCCAGAGATTGCATACATATGCATGCAAATTTTCAAATCATCGACCATGGTGCGAGTTAGTAGGTAGATAGTGTTGGCACCCCGTCGCTTTAAGCCGGCTATCGGCATTTACGCAATTGTAGAATTTATAGGAAAATGCAATTTATAATTTGAATGAAATTCCATTAGTTACTTTTAATGGATGCTGCGGTTGCTTCACGGGAACTGCTCCTGTCCGGCCACTATTTTTAATTGATTTAGTGTGGGGATTGCTCACTGGTCGTGTTGCTCCCAACTAATGGCTAGGACTACTCTAACAGAATGAGAAATGGAATTCATTATGCAATGGAATCAAACATTATAGACCGATGATGCCTGGGACGCATTGTGGTTTATTTTAACTGGCTAATACAATTGTCAATAATTCAATTTGAATTGAAATTCAATTAGTTTACAAGTACATGACACACATACGCACACTTAGAGAGTTCATTAGGTTTTTGTTTTTTGGTATAACTGCTTCGGTTCCTATAGACTTATTTTGATTTTCATTTATTTGGTAGAACAATCGAATTACGTACACAAATATGTATTCAAAGTTGGGTAAGTAAGATAAGTCGGCTGATATATCGTGTCTGATATAATATACGAGTACATAGCGTCCTCAAAATTTGTGTGTTCCCATAGGTTGCTGATATACATAGGTTACGCTTAAATAGTTAGAGATCGAATACTTGTGGGCTTTTCAGATTTGTTTTCAATTAACTACACCTAATAACAATGTATAAACGCTTAACTTACAAAACAAACACCTAAACGGTATGCACATATGTATTTCTGTGTTCCATTAAGATATATATTGTATAACTATTTATAACTAAACCTGGCCAATCCTCAATCCTCTCTGGTGGATGGACGAAAGCGGCAAAAATCCTGGTTCTATACCAATTATGCATTACCAGTTGCACATAAATAAAAGTTTATATTATTTAATCACAATTCACTTTGCATATGCCGTAGTTCATTCATTTACAATCCTCTTTTTTAATATCTTAATAACTTTAATAGCTCCTTAAAGTACATAGTCTAGATAAATCTTATCAGCTAAGGACATTCAGAGTAACAAACAAAGGAAATGCATATCACTTATACTGTGAATCATACAGCTACACACACGCATTCCTTTTATATTAAAATCAAGTATTAAATCAAAGTTTTCCTATCATAGATCTCTTTAAAGAGAACCTGCAAAATTTTATGTGCTTTTGCGGAATTTGATTTGGCTATTTACCATAAAAAAGTACACCCTGTTTTATCCTTGATAAGCATTCCGAGGTTTGCCTTTGTCCTCCGAACTCATCAAAATTTATTTTACAATTACGTTTCTCGCATAGTAAATGGTTTTATTTTGTGCTCTCCATTTTTCTGCTAAAGTTTTTTGTTATTCCACGTGGTTGAAGTTAAATCAAAATGCCACGAAATAGCTTCATTCCTTAATAAAATTCGTTTTGCATCCCTTTTCTCGTTTCTGGCTTGGATAACTCCCCTTTTCGGGGAAACAAGTTGAGCTCTAAGCAAACACAAACATTTTTACCATCCATCAAGATGCTTGTTTATATACTCATATATATGGAAATGAAAATATTAACTACAGAGTCGGCTAACGGTGCAGATATATGTATGTATGTACTTATTAACATTATAGAATTTGCCTTAAAGCTACGCCAACCTATCATAATATTATGATAATCAATCAGTGGAAAACGTCTTAAACTTAGTCTTCTCTTTAATAGCCCCCTCGACGCCTCACCATAAAAAACAACAACAGCCCAGGACATTATTTTACCATTAAAAGGAACTCTATGAACGGCGTTACGATTCTTCGAAATCTCATCAATAAAGTCTCACTCCCATCGTCTCATTTAAATTCAAATTCCGTACACAAGAAGTTGACTTATTTTGTAAGATTGGCTGAACGAATTATAAACGATTTGGTGTATAAAAGGTTATTCAAAAATTAAACAAAGCTGGTCCCTATAAACCGCATCAAAATTTACGAACATAAATCGATTCTATAAAGTCAAAAGAAGCCAAAGGAATTAAGTATTTAGTTCCTAATCCTAATGGCCTTTCTCGTTTTTAATCTTTATTTACAAAAGAGATGAAAACTTGAAGTTGTTCTAAAAACAAACTCTGGTATGGGAAGCCAAAATCAAAACAAATAGACAAAAAGAGTTGAATTATGTCGGCAAATACTTATCATATTATAAAGTTTTCGAAGCTCTAGGTACTTATAGGACAAGGTATAGCTTTCATTATGACACACCCACACTCTTAGTTATAATAAATAATTATAGTTATTATCGAGTTGCGTATTTATCAACAAAAACTACACCTAACTGGGTTTTGTTTGCCCTTGAGCAAGTGCGGTTTTTGTGAGTTTTATATTATCAGAGTAATCAGCTCAGTGCACCAAACATACATAAATATGGGCGTCACTTGTTTATGCACACTAATTAACTGCCGTCCATTATTAATACATTTTGCGGCGAAACATAATAACGCAATTATGCCGCTCTAAATAATAATAATTTACTGGACGTTGCAGTCGTCGGATGCGTTGTTGATTTGCTGCTTGGTCTTGCGTGAGGCGCGGCGTATGAGCGATCTGAAACGGAAGCGGAAGTGAAAAGTGAGTGCAAGCAGGAAGCGGCAAGTGTGAGCATTGTTTCATCACCAATACTAATAGAATCAAATGTATATTTAGTGACAAGACATCCTTTAACGCCTGAATAATGGGGCACGTGTTGCACTCACCTGGAACGTGGCTTTAGCTTAGCTTCCGCACTGGTACTGGCCACATCGACGGCATCCACGAGGCCGGATGCCTTTTTGTCACCGCTACCACCGGCCCCGCCCAGAGCCGGGCTGTTCATCCGATTTTTGTCTGGAAAATAGATGATAACGCATGGCTAATTATAAACCGCGTTTTCATTTAAAACCCGCTCGTAACTAGCATAAAGGGAATGCGTAATTTTTGGTTCATATGCCGGGAAAATCCAATTTCCCCGATTGAGATTCTCTGGGATGCAGTTGTCAGAGAAGCTGGATGCTCTGAAACTTACATAATTAACTTATGTGCCACATACACTCTCGTATATGTATATATAAAAAAAAAAGATACCGTGGGGGAGTTGCACCCGGGCGGCACCCTCTGTTGCAAAGTTTCTGTGCTCGAAATGGGTTTTTTTACGGCCGGTTGCACAGTCAAAGTTCATCTCAAGATAAGAGGTTTTAACAACCAGCTGCCCCTTTGGTTTAACGTCGGTTTATCTTCCATTTTTTTTTTACATGCGCTGTCAATCGGGGACACGCAAGTCCTGTCCTCCCAAGGACAGGAGTAATCGGTAGGGTAACCAGTACTATCATCAGGTGAATGATAAAAACGAGTTTAAGGGTAATTTAAAGCGATCAGGTTGGTTAACTAGATGTCACCTTATTACAATCAATGTCAATGAAGGCTATAACTCGGGAGTTATCCTCAGGCAGCACGCTTAGCCTGCCAACAAGAATGTCAACCTCTGACAAAAGGTGTTTCCCGTGAAATGTTTACTTTCTTGAGAAGCAGGCATTATTGTTTCCTCGTAATGAGAACTGAAAGCCAAAACAATGAAACGGCTTACAAAGGGGGCGGTGGGGGATTGAAAAGGGCCAGAAAACTGGGTGTGCAACACTGAGACCACAAAGACAAAGGGCCAAAACCAAAAGCCAAGTCAATTTAGTTATTAAACTTTGCCGCTCAGGGGGGGGCAAATACGAGAGTGTTTGTTGTCGGTTAAATGATCCGTGCAAACAGAATTATTGAGCACGCCAGCACTTTATGGCCTGCACGGCTCGGCGTGCCAGAAGTGTTGCATACATCTGGGGCGGCAGTGTCAAGTGCAAACAAAATGGCGCCCAACGCCATTGTTGTCAAAAAAAGGCGCCAACACGGTAAAAGTACAATTTCTGTCGCTGACGGCAGAGAGCATGATGGGACGATGGAACGATAGGACGAGAGGCTGCCTCATGAGGCATTCCGACGGCCGGAAAGCAAAGACCGACGGTAGTATGCCCTAACTCCCGGAATCCCCGCAGCTCTGTGGCCGACTATCCGGGTGGTTTTGTGTGTATGTGTGGAGAAACCGTAACGAGGCAGCTGAAATATACTGCCAACTAAGCACAAAAACAAACAAGTGGCAGCCGAGGGGGACGGCGGCCCTGGTGAATGGGGTCGGTTTTTGGGGATATAAATTGTGCATATGTAGCGAGAATTGATGCGTGAGTCGTGTAACAGAAATTTAAATTAAATTCATTTTATTTTTTCGTCTCTATGTGTCGGGTTTCAGGAGAGGAAGGTCCACGGGTGTACGGCATAAAACACAAAGCTTTTTCCTCTCTGACTTCAAGACTACATACAAGCCTCAAAAAAATGAGACAACAATAAGATCTTAAAG